CTGGAGAGGGGGGAAATAATTCAATAAACAAAGGACAAATTCTACAGGAAATATACTGCATTTTGTCCCATCTGCTACATCTATCTCTGACACTCTTAATTCAAATACTAGCATAAAATTACGGAAACTGTTATGATGTGATCTACAGAGGAAATTAGGGTCAGGCCCAGGACACCTTCTGTGTTTCTTTAGCTGTCTCATCTCTAAACATGTATCACTTGTGTGCATACTTAGTTAAAAATGCCCTAGTCCTATTTGATTACTGGCTTGACTATTAAGCATGTTGGCAAGGTGGAATTATACTGTTTTTGTTTTATAATATCCTATTCTTAAAAAGCATTTAACCAGGGGTTTTAAGATGATCTTTGAGAGATGATTTCAAAGAACACAAGGATGCCAAGGAAAAGTAAAGGAGACACACAAAGGTAAAAATATTGATCAGAAGGCATATAAACAGCTTTTTAAAAATTTTTATGGTAAAAGGTAAAATGAAATTGCTTAACAAAATAATAGGAGAATAATAATAGTTATTATACAATGTTTAAAGTAGTTGCTCAGTGTACAAAATAGGAGCATAAAAATTTCCTCAATAGATATTAACACTATTACTTTTTAAAGAGCTTGATATACTAATAGCATAACTGATCTGTACATTTTTTTTCTTTTTTCTCTACTGTTTTTTTGCCTTGTACCCATCTTAGTTCTTTTTTCCTTTTGAACAATTTTCTCCTATTTCATAATATCTAGTGTGTATTTTATACTTTGTTTACTCTTTCCGTTTCTTATACCAGGGAGACAATACATTGTTTACATATGTGAATCTGATTTATTTCACTTATGAGTATGATCTCAAATTGCATCCATTTACCTTTAAAAGTCTCAAGTTTATCCTTCTCCATTGTATAAAATTATCACATCTTTTTCATACATTCATCAGTCGATGGGTATTTGGGTTGTTCCCAAGATTTAGCTTTATAAATTATGCTGTTATAAACATGGACATTGCTGTGGTATCATGTTTTTAATCCTTTTGGAAAAACACCCAGAAGGGAAAGAGCTGGGTCAAATGAGATCTCTAATATTAGTTTTTTGAGGAATCTCAATGCTAATTTCCACAGTGGTTGTACCAGTCTACACTGCCACCAACAGTGAAGAAGGGCTCCTTTTTTCCCTACAGTCCTGCCAGCATTTGTTATTGGTTGATTTCTTGATGAAAGCCATTCTTTCTGGGGTGAAATGGAATCTCATGTTGTAATTTGCATCTGTCAAAAGATCAGAAATATTGACTATTTTTCATATATTGATTTGCCATTTGTATTTCATCTGAGAAATATACATTCATCTCAGATGCCCATTTTTTAAACTAAGTCTTTGAACTTGAAGGATTTGAATTTTTTCAATTCTTTATATTCTTCCAGATAGAAGTCTTTTGAGAGACAACTGAATAAGAATTTTCCCCATTCTGTGGGTCTTTTCATTCGTTGGTGATTTCTTTTGCTGTGCTTTTTAATAAGATGAAATCTGAGTTGTTGACTCTGAAGTATTGCCTTTTCAGTCTGCGTTTTGTTCATGAACTCTGTACCTACAACTATATCTTCAAGATTTATACCTACTTTCTCTTCCAGTAGATGTAATAAACAACTTTTTTAAATGCTTGGTCTACCACTCAATATATTGTATAGGGTAAGCTACAGCTATGTCCAATCTGCAGCACACACTATTTTTGCCTTTTCTTTGAATGAAAAATTGGCTTCACCCAGATAGAAGATATATATTGTTTATGTATATAAGTAAAAAACTCATTTTATAAATTTTTATTATAAAGTTTAAAAAAAAAAAGAACAAAGAGAAAAAGGGTGGGCTGGATATTGAACATGGCCACTGGAAAATCTTTTATCAGAAGTTTTCTTTATTTTAGAATGATTTTTATACACATTAAGAGATGAAAATGATGCATTTTCAAAACTTATTAAAAGCATCTGAAGTTTTAGCAATCCAAGAGTTCGTATTTACAGATTTTTTGTGTCCTGGTAGCTCTGCTTGTATGATCTGGAATGTAGTTAACTTGTTTCTAGGAAATGTTTTCTACACTAATTATCACTGGGAAAGTCATCAACAAGCCAGCCATGAATTTATTTGAGTGTCACTTATATTCCTGGAGTGGTTGCTGGAAATTGCTGACTGCACTGAATGATAAACACGGAAATAAACTATGGAGAATATTTTAAAAGATTGAAGCTGTCTCATTGATGGAAATGGATTGACAGTCACATTCTATAGAAAGGAAATTGATTTTATCTAGGCTTCCCCACAGACTGGATTTCTGAATATTCATAGTCTTTTTAGCTGGATAGTGATATGCACATGGATTCTGCTCCATTTGCAGAGATCACTAAGAATTAAGTCACATTTTGTTGAGCTACAATAGTTAAGTAAGTGACTGTTTTTGATGTTGATGAAGTATTCCCTGGAAATGTGTTGGCATGTTAGAGGACTATAGTAACTTCACATGCACACAAATTGTTATCTATAATTCTGTGTGTGTGTGTGTGTGTGTGTGTGTGTGTGTTTGTGTGTGTGTGTGTCAGGAACTGGACTGAGGACCTTGTGCTTAGCAGGCAGGTGCTTTGCTGTGGAGCTAAATCCCTGATCTTATAATTCAAATTTAAGACTATTCTTTCTCTCTAAACACTAAACAATGCTAATATTTATTATCAAAAAAAAACACATGAAGAAAATTAAACGGTTAAGTTTACTTTTAAATGAAATCATTTCTTAATGTGAATTGAAGTTGACTTCATGAATGAATTCCATTGTAGTAAAAACACATTTTTCAATAAATGCTACAATTGTCACTTTCTGGTATAGTACCAGAATAAATAGTTTAAAAGGTAAAAAATAAAGTATTTTTAAAATTCTGAGAAATTAATTTTTGTTACAATAATTCTTCTGAAGCCTAATTTATAAACAAACATTTTCCATGTTTCCTTATCTATCTATCTATCTATCTATCTATCTATCTTTCTTTCTTTCTTTTTCTTTCTTTCTTATTTTTTGTACCAAGTATCGAACTCAGGACTTTGCACTTGCCAGACAAACACTGTGCTCCTGAGCTATATCTCTGTTACTGCTGATATTAATTTCTTCTTCAGAAAAAAAGCTACTGTAAAAGACTTATGAAATGCGTTGAAGGGTTTGTTGCACTTATAAATTTTCTGTTCTTTTTTATTACTGATGCTTTAGAAGCCACTTGAAGTACACATTTACATTTTAGGAATTAGAGTTTTGTAATCTTGATTTAATTATTGCTGGTTGATAGTGCTTCCCTGACAGTATTATCTGTTTGAATCATTACATTTTTCTGCTTGCACTAAAGAAGTGGTTCTCCAGTTAGGGATTTATACGTCTTGTTAATTGTCTAGTATTCTATATATCACTCAATGAATTGTGTATTCATATTAAGCTCTTTAAATTTTGCTGCTTTTAGAAGAGAATTACAAATCTTCAATTTTTTAACCTATGCTTCTTCTTTTATTTGAGCTTTGATACATTCAACAGTTATTCTTTGAGCTTCAGTTACAGCAAACAACACTAAATTAGTCATCTGAATTTGGAGCTACATAATCATTTTATTACTATGTCTATGTAGGAAGTGAATTTTGTTTTAAAAAAATTGTGTGGACAACACTTGTCCTCAATCGTAGTCAAAGCTTTACCAAGCAGCTGGCATGTTACTTTACCTGATGTGTCTTCACATATTTTCCCATCTTTTAATGGAAATTTTATGCCACCTTTAGTCAGAGAGAGAGAGAGAGAGAGAGAGAAAGAGAGAGAGAGAGAGAGAGAGAGAGAGAGAGAGAGAGAGACAGAGACAGAGAGAGATAGAGAGAGAGAGAGAGAGAGAGAGAGAGAGAGATATTAAATGATTGTTATTTTAAATTCATTGCTAGAGTTTCCAGCAGAAATGTGATAGAATACTTGACTGGGGGGAATGCACTGAAAAGCTGTCATGCAGCTGAATGTATAAAGAGAGCAGAACCTCGCCTCCCTGATGCAGATGCACTGCAGCCATCAGGCTGAATCCCGCAGTGCGAAGTTCTGAAAAGTCTTTGCATGTAGACAGAAAGAAATTCATTGTACCCGTTCTTACATCCATAAGAGATATGGCAGCAAATTCCCTCACTTCTTGAAGAATTGGGGTAGAGGTTGAGGGATTGCATGACTAATATACAGAAAATACAAAAGAAAATCTACAGTAAACAAATGAAATACTTCTATAAACATTAGTGTTGGATTTTTAATTCTGCAGAGTTCTAACTTGTACGTCGATTGTAACTGCACTGCTCTTTTAGGAAATTGACTATAGTATGAGAAGGAAACGATAGATTTGGATATCAGAAAATTTCTTATTCTACATCAATTAATTTTCATTTATTTGGTTGACTCTGATATGGAGGAATAATGGCAACGTAAAGTGGCCGTGTTGGCTTTTCATCTGCTCTCACCATTTCTACATGTGGGCTTTGAAGTTTTTACTTAGTATGGTCAGTGTTCTGAATGGAATGTTTTGCCAATCGCACGCAAAAACCTAACAATAAAGTAAGAGAGGAGATTTATAACTCTAAAAATGAAATCAGTTGTTAAAAAAAAAACAGATTTCTTATTTACCAAAATTAAAACAGGCAAATCCCAAACTTAACTGACATATCATAGTGAAAATATTTATGTCTAGGGTTTCACGGTATCAAAGCACGTTGAAAGTTGTGTTAGGATGCAAAGCATATTCTTAATAGTGTTTACTTTGCAGAGGAGATGTAAAAGTGTAAGAAGCTTCTCAAAAGAAATTTTGTAGTAAATGAGTAGATCTTTGGATTCCAAGAAGCAGGACAATCAAGAATGCTAAAATTTCTTTGAAAAGTCCAATTTTTGAAAAGGATATATTGCATTACTGTTATATTAATAGTTCATTTATAAATGTCTTAAAATGCTCTTTATTCCAGGTGTTCCAAAATTCCCAAAAGAAAAGATTGAGCCTCTGGATGTAGAAGAAGGCGATCCCATCGTCCTCCAGTGCAACCCGCCCAAAGGCCTCCCACCTCTGCACATCTACTGGATGAATATCGGTAAGAGTCCCCCTTTTGTCAATAAGGGGGCGCTGTAATTTTACAAGTCATATAAATAACAGAAAGAAATCAAAGACAAAGCCTGATATGCTGGTGCATACCTATCATCTCAGGGACACTGAGGCAGGAAGATTACCATAAGTTTGAGGCCAGCTTGGGCTACACAGTGAATTTAAGGCCAGCCCAAACTACAGTGTAAGTGGAAGAAAACCAACCTCTCACCCTCAAAGAAGAAACCAAAGATAAAATATTCGTGTATGATTATCAATGTGGAATCAAGTCTAAAATTAGACATATAAATAGTTTATCTCTCCTTCTAAATATAAATGGAATATAAATTGAAGTGTGTATGTAAAAACACCAGAAAAGGACTAAAGATATCTCTTCATTTTATCATATTTGAAAAGCACAGAGACTACTGCCATAATAGTATATATCTGTGAAGAAAATACACCTGTGTTTCAAATCACTTACTCATCTTTGAAACATAAGCTGCATCAGAATTGAGAATGGTTTGTATTGGTGTGGCTACATTAAAATTGCTATTTTAGTAATATTCTATCTGTACAACACACAAAAAAAAAATTTGTGTTCACCTCTGTGCTTAATTTTTCAAAAACTCTTGTTGACTCCTGATGTGAAACTCCCAGTTCTTGTAAAGTTCCCTTCTAGCATGAGTCTTACTAGTTCTCCCTAGACATCCCTGCTCTGGCTCTCCGAGTAAAGTGGTATTTGTACACCACTAAGAACAAAATGGGTGGAATTGTCTTGGATGAAGTCAGACTTTCCAGGCTTTGGCAATTCTAAAACTTTCCATGCTACATGTACGATAGGGAGGGCAAGAAGGTCAAAGAAAATGAAAGTAAGAATCAGACCATTGCAGATCCAGAAAGCAGAAGTACAGCCCTAGACAGATGGTCAAAGAGATGAGCTTCTCAAACTCTTACAAATCAGTGGACTTCTTTGGTTAATAATAAGAAGTATATGTCCAGGATATTTTTTGTATATTTTTCACTGCCCCTTAATCATTGCTCTGCTAATAAGACAACACTTGTGAGAAATAGGAGAAGCAGACAAGAAAAATCAAATCAAGTGAAATAACATAAAAGAAATAAAAATGGAAAAGAAGATAAAGTATCATAAGGGGAAGTTATCCTTTTCAATGACAGAATATTTCTTTTCAGAGTTGGAACATATTGAACAAGATAAAAGAGTGTACATGAGCCAAAAAGGAGACTTGTACTTTGCAAATGTGGAAGAAAAAGACAGCCGGAATGATTACTGCTGCTTTGCTGCATTTCCAAGATTAAGGACGATAGTACAAAAAATGCCAATGAAACTAACAGTTAACAGTTGTAAGTCCAAATAATTTATTACAGCGGGCATGCTTAATGCAAATTTGTCTATAATTTCATCCTGCCTGAAGTCATTTAAAGCTGGGTTGATATTTCTGTCATTGTTTAGTTTAACTCTAGAGACTTCATCCAGAGAAAAGAGACATCTGCAGCTGCAAATCCACAGCAGTTCTGTCTCTGGCAGCCAGAAAATCAAATCTCAATTCACAATACAAATGTGTTTCATTTGATGTCTGCAAGATCCAGTCCTTTACAGTGGGTAAAGCACAAAATGAAATTTCAGGGTTTTCCAATAGAGTCTCAGGATTTGATTCACTGTGACCTTGGATAACAGACTTAAAATGGGGAAGAAAAATTTTTAAAAATCAAAAAATAATCAATATTAGTGTTTTATAGCAGGGACATTTTTCTTTATTCTGCCCAAATTAGCTGAGTTAGTTTAATTGATCCTTGTTCCTACTGTATTCTTCAAATAGCATTCTGGATCCTCAAATGTTAAAAAGCGATTAGCAGGGAGAAGACTCATAAGATTTGAAGTGAAGACATAATCTCAACAGCTCCTTGACTGTGTAATCAGCCTTGGTATAGTTGATAGTTGGTGTTTCCATTTCATTGTCTGATATGATCCATGATATTTTCTTTGCTATGTGTTGATATACTGCACCACGTCTTCACTATAACGCCCTTCCAGTAATCTAATTTCTCTTTAATGGGTTTATAATTTTAATATTTTCCACCTGGTTTAATGTGTGGTAATTCAAGATTAAGCTAATTTAAAATTTTTTCTCATTATGTAAACTTGTATTCCCATAGATGATGTTATAGTGAAGCATGGTTCCACCTCATTTTGTAATTCTCCAAAGGGAACTATTTGGCTTTTCATCCTGTATAGATATCAGCATCTACCATTACGTTTGTGTTTTTTTCTTCCATTTATTTCAGTAAAGCATGTTAATGACTCAAGGTCATCCACAGAAATTAGTTCCAAGGGTAAGTTGGACATGCATAATGTTAGCATTAATGTTCATTTAAGTAGTTCATTATCATCTCTGAATTGGAATGTTTTCTTTATTATCTTCATGAGTTAATAAAATGTTAGTATTTCAGTTAAGAAAAATTCCTTAGGAAAGGGAGTGACTGTTATAAATACATAGCTATATAAATATAAAAGTATATTTACCTATACTATAATATACATAGATACATAATATACATAAATATATAGCTATAACTATAAATATAGATGTAGATATCTGATTGAGAAGTTATTTTGGAGTTCTTAAAATGTCTCATATGCTGTAATATTGATAGATTTGTATGAAGAAAGGATAAATAATGCCACAGTAAGTGATGAGAAGTAGAGAAATGCTGATCTTAAAGAAGTTAATTGATTATTATTTTTCCTGCAAGACTAATTGGGATACTTAAATGTCACTATACATTGTGATTCTGTGAACAAGAATATAGTTTACAATATTTTCCTACCGATATGCCTGCAAAATCTATTAAATTCAATTTTATTTTATCCAGTAGAAGTTTTGTTTTATAGAGGATTCCTAACTAAACTTGAATTATAGTGTATTCTAGTTTTCCATAATGATAAAAATTGTACACATGAATCCAAGAAATGTTTATATCATGTGGATTAATGATGAAAGTTAGATTTGTAATATATTGGTAACATCCTCAGAAGTGGATGAAGAATCCTCTTGGAGTATCCTCCTTTTTAAGGTGGGCTGATTCATTCCCAAAGTTATTTTCTTTTGAATCAATAACTCAAATGTATATTTATATGTATCTTAAGAGCACTAAATAGGGGCTGAGGATTTAGCTCAGCAGCACAAGCACCTGCCTTGCAAGCAGGCGGTCGTGAGTTTGATCCCCGGTACCGATAAAAGTGAAAAAGACAAAAAAAGAAAGAAAAGAAAAATGACTCTATAAAAGAGAGCACTAAATAAAAATCACTGTACATAGCACATTTTGCCAATTATTTTTCAGCAAATATAAAGTCTTAAAGTTATTGCAGAATATAAACTACTCCCTGTGCTGTGTGTACTACTCTCTTATGATGATACAATGCTGTTTCTCTCTTTCCATAGCAGGTAAATTTGTCTTGTTATTAAGTGAAAAAGAAACAATTTATAATAACTTATGAAATGAAATAAAATTTACAGTAAAAATGGATCTGGTTATTTGTCATTGCATTTGAAAGTTATAGTAATAAGAAATAGAGCATGTTAATTTGTGATTGCGAGAATGCTTGCTGATCTTTTCCTGAAACTGTTTATCTGTGAAGGCCTGAGGCCATAAAAGAGCTGCCAGGAGAGCCTGCAAAGATTGCTGGTAGCTAGTATCGACCATGGGCTTCCTCAATCAGAATTTCTGGATAGAGTTTAGGAAACTTTTGATAGGAACCATATCCAAGACTTAGGCAGATTAAAGAAAGACCTACAGCTCTCAAACATAACAAGGCATGATTGAAGTGTAGAATATAAAATCAGACTGTTGATTAATGTAAAGTCTTTATCAAGAAATTATGTGTCCTTAATAATGTGTGGACTTCCAAACTAGATCACTTTTATAATACTTTGTTTTACATACAGTTAACACATCTGAGGGACATTCTTTTCCTCATGGGAAAAATATATTGAAGTGTGTGTGTGTGTGTGTGTGTGTGTGTGTGTGTGCGCGCGCGCGTGTGTGTGTGTGTGTGTGTGTGCTTGTGTGCATATATGTGCATGTGCATACACAAACATACCTGGATTCTTAGGCTTTTAAGCAAGAATTGTTACCTCAAAATTTTAGCTTCTCTTAGTTTGAAAAAAAATCTAACCTTTCCTTTCTCTTTTATAGCAAATTCAATCAAGCAAAGGAAACCGAGGCTGCTGCTGCCTCCCCCCGAGACTGGCAGTGAATCTGCCGTCGTCATCCTCAAAGGAGAGACCTTGATGCTGGAGTGTTTCGCGGAGGGCTTGTGAGTACCCTAAACAACCTTGCCCACCCAATGTGCTGAACAGTGAGGCATCCATTAAGAATATATTTGGGGTGTATTTTAAATTATTTTTTCTCAAAAATAAATCGTATTGACTATAATACTGGTAAAAGTAATTTGTACTTCACTCTAAACACTTCAGGCTGTGATTAAAATTTACTTATACCTAAATCTCTCAGTCAGTTTGTGATATTGTCATTGGAGGCAACAGTGTCATTCCTGGTTAAGTCAACTAAGTCTAATGCTGTCCTTAGAGCATGACTGTGTGGGTGGCCAACCCACTTCTATTCCTACCTGTTTTCTCATTTTCTACTTCCTTGGTTTGACCCCCTCTTATTTGCTATCTGGTTACTATCTCTGTGCCTTTACATTTCCAAAGACTCTGTTCCTGTTAGTTATCTCGTGGTCCACTGAAAACCCAGATCATGGAGTTTACACAAAACCTAATTAACTGAACTTTGTTTACATCTGTGAAAGTAATGCACTTTTTCTAGTCCTCCTTGCAAGCGCTAAGGAATCTCACTAATCAACTGCTGAAATCATTACATGTATCAAGCAACTATAAGAAGTTTGTGTAAACTGGGGAAAAACTATTAATTAATTAAAATGTTAATTTTGGTCAGAAAGAAATCACCTGCTTGTATCACTATTCCTCATTGATACCACTGCAAATTCTGTGGGCAACTTCACTGCTTCTTCTGAATACTTTAGTCGATTCATTTGAACACTGAAAAGTCTTATAAGCTTCACGGAGACTACAGTTTGACATTTCAAAACCATATTCATTCATAATTTAGTGTACATTCTGTATGAATAGCTTTAAATTGAAGTTAGAAAAAAGGGCTGAATTTTAATGGTTCTATGTGCTGTAAATTTTTCTTCTTATCCAGGAAAAATAACCAATTTGCTTGTCTGCCTTAAATAGCAAATGTATACAGACATTAAGTTACTTAGGTGTGCATGACATGACCTCTGTCAAGAAGTTGGGTCTCTCTGTTTTTCATTAAGTTAAAACCTAAATGCTTAATTTGAGTTATGATAGTAAGCTGTTGCTCAAGTGATTCGACTCATATGAGTTTACAGTGGTACAAATTAAATTCTCAGGGTTTGTCACTATTCAAGGTTGACTTTTGGGTCAAGGGCAAATATTTCAGAAGTTCATCTTATTTCCCACAATGCCATGATTTGCAAGTTATATTGGCTGGAAAATGCACAGATTCTCTTCAAAATAATAGAAATGTTCTCATGTACTTTGGAGAAACTGAAATGAAGCAATATATAAAAAGAAAATAAATACCAAATTGTGTTATCTTGGGGACATAGAGTTTTCTTATACATTTTCATAAGAGGTTTCATCTGAAGGGTTTTCTCTTTGCTCACAGTGGGTAATGCTTAGACAAGACCTTTAGTTTTCTTCAGCTGAGAGGGTTATACTACAGAAAAATTTTTTTGTCTTTTTTTCATTTTTATCGGTACCGGGGATCGAACTCACGACCGCCTGCTTGCAAGGCAGGCTCTTATGCCGCTGAGCTAAATCCCCAGCCCCAAAAACTTTTTAAATATTGAAAAAAAATTTAGGAAATTTAAAACATAAACCATCCATACCAACAGAAATAATGATAGCTAAGACACTGTACTGTTATTCTGTGTCAAGAATTATGTTTTGCACTTTATGTACATTAACTCACTTTATCCTCACCACATCTGTGACTATTCTTACAGGTTAAATAAATAAAGCCCAGTACACGCTCACTTAGAGAAGTAAATTCACTTTTCTAAGTCTAACAGAAGGTGATGCTGAATTCCACCCTGCTTCCAGAAACTTAAATACTTAAACTACCCCTAAATATATTTATTTTTATGAAATATTTTAATCACATGAACACATGACTGGTTTGTTATAAAGATAGATAGATAGATAGAGAGATTATTATTGAATCTGAAGCTGCATAATATATATATATATATATATATATATATATATCAGTAAATGTTTAATAATATTAGTCAAAGCAGGAAAGTTTAAAGGAATATCCATGTCGAGGAGCTGAGTATCTACAGATTCTGTGAGCACAGTGGAAATAGAGAATAATTAAATGACACTTCAAACCTTATTATGAGAGAAAAGTGTTCACACCCTGAGTGAAGATACAATTCACACTCACTGGCAGCTAATAACACGTCAATAGCGTCAGCATGAATGTAAGCTGGGTATAATTCTATTTCAAGATAGTGCATTATAAATAAGCAGTAGAAAAATTAAAGTTGCTAAAGTGAGAACCTGAAAGCAAAGTGGAGGCTAGAAGATAGCACGTATTTGTGATATTTGTGTATGGAAAGATACCAAGCTATATATTTTCTTCTAAAAAGTCATTGCTCAAATGGTGTTGATAAGTGTTACTTAAAAACAAAAAGAGGAAAAGAAATTGGCAAAGATACAGCTAGAAATTCTTTTAGTGGTATAAACCTATCCCTAGATAATCTCTTAGGACACTTAAATCATTTTATTTGATACTTTGAAATGAAAAGTATTAGAAGATTGGTAGGTTCCAAGGCCCACAGGTTTAAAAACAAAACAAAGAAAGAAAGAAACCCAGATCAAATAGAAAGGGAGATGCTCGTACTGTTAAAGTAAGGACTCATGAAAAACTTTCCTATTGAAGGAACTCAGGTCCAGAACAGTCTATGACTTGGAACAATGCCATTTTGACAGATGGAGGAAAAAGCGGCAGTTAGGAGACTTGGGTTATGCATTCTGTTTGGTGATGTTCTCAGGAAGCCAGAAGCTAATGTCACACGTGCCCATTTCCTAAGTAGGGTGCCACGTGTTCTAAACTGATCAGATACATTTCAGATCTGTAAAGCAAGGAAGGACTTGAGCCTTGAAAGGAGGAGAAAGAACAGATGGACGTGACGTGCTGGATTCTTTATGTCCAAAAATTTTGCATAATGATTCAATAATTTTAAGCATTGCTTATATATAATAAACAATCTGAGATAATCATCTGAATGTTAACTAACAAGTAGGAACTTTGGCTACAAGCATATATCTAAGGATATACAATCAGGAAGGACACAGATTTTTATGAAAAACAAAAATCAAATAGAAAAACACTTCTAAAATAGGCTGAATAGGTTATTTATTAATACAATGACCTTAATCAAACTAGTTTCTAAGAATTTCAAATTTCTTACAGGTTTCTACCTGTAACAATAATAATGCCCATCTTTATAGTTACTCAATAATTTACAGCTATTATCACCAAAAAGGAATACAGTGAGAAAAAAAGTATTATCAATGAAAATAACAAGCTCTTTTCATTGGATAACCCAAGCAGGGAGTGGAAAATTGATATTATCCTCCCTCTCATGAAGGCAGCCATCATTGCTTTCCATGTCAATTTAAAATCACCTGAGTCTTCCATTTTTCATATTTTCATAAGAAGTGATTTTTTTTCTTAAAAACAGTTTGCTTGATTCACCAACTTCTGTTTCCCTTCAGCATAAAGTAGAGAAGTTCTCATACTAGTTGGTGATGAATCAGTATTTTGATTTTGTTTCCGTGTGTGTGTGTGTGTGTGTGTGTGTGTGTGTGTTTGGGTGAGCTCATCTCCCCAGAGCCAGTTCTCTGTCAGGGAGATACGGTTTTGCTTCCTTCCCCCTACTCCCTACAAGTGAGGAAGCCACCTGAGTAGCAGTGACCTTGCTGTGTGCTTCCCCTTGCTCTGGACTGAGTGGGCTGTTCCTCATCCAGTATGCACCTGAGCTGCCCCCTCCAGTATCGATTGGTTTAGGATGAAAGGGGATTTCATGGTACCTCTTTCTATGGGGTCCTTGTTGATCACATCTTTCAAACTCACCTGTGGCAGAGAGCTCTTATTTCTGACTCCTTCAGATTATTCACAGGGAAATTTTAACACTTCCAGAACTATTTGGAAATATTTTTTTTCTTTGATATGGACTCCAATTATTCATTAAACCATATCTACTCAGCAATTCAACATAGTTAGGTCACTTAGTAATAGGATTAGTGACTTCCAAGAATGTAGACTTTTAAAGGAATTTAAGAATTAGTCCAGCCTTGATTTCACACTGGAGATAGTTTCTGTCTGTCCATTGACATTTCTGCATAATCAGAGATACCTGAGTTCACATATAAAAACAACCTGAAGATGAATACTCCCTGAGCATTTTTTATACTTAATATTTATTATTTATTTATGCATGCATTTTATAGGCCAACTCCACAGGTTGAATGGAACAAATTGGGTGATGATTTACCAAAGAGAAGTGAAACAAAAGAAAATCACGGCAACACATTGAAGATAGAAAACATCTCCCATCGGGACAAAGGAAATTATCGCTGTACAGCTAGCAATTTCTTGGGAACAGCCAGTCATGATTTTCATGTCATAGTAGAAGGTATGTTACCCATTAGGATTTATGTTGTAACTCTAGTAAATTAATTCAAATAATTAAAGAATTTTTGCCTATATAGTATAGTATGTGTGCTAAAACACCTTAGCAGTTTCGCCTTTTATTTGTACTGTATGCACTGAATTGTATTACATTTTAGTGATGAGATTTTTCATTTACTCCACTGCCCCAGAGCCACATGAAAGGCACAAATGGCATGAAAAAGTTTTATGTTGAGACGTAAAAATAGTTTTCATGATTTATTCAAGTATGTATCAAATCTAGTCCTAAATCGTCTTATGAAAAATTATTTTTATTGTAAGGTACATACACTGATACATAATATTAACTCACAAAAATAAGAGAGGAAGCCAACTGTGGTAGCATACACCCATGATTTTAACCCTTTGGCAAGAGGATCATAAGTTTGGTTCCTTACCTGGGCAACTTACGACTTAACAAGATGTTATCACAAAATAAAATACAGAAAATGGGCTGTGAATGTAGCTAGGTGGAAAGACCCTGCTTCAGTGCCTGCACCATAAAAATGTAAGGATTATGTGGAAAGTATTAAAGTAAGTCTGGAAAAAGTTTGGCCTTTACTCCTCATCTTGTCAATAGCTTGTTATGCCCTGGATCACTTTAGTTCACCTTGGTGTTAGTAACTTTCTCATCATTGAATGATTAGGACAGAATTCCTGACATGCATAAATCAAGGAAGAAAGATTTCCTTTGGCTCAGGGTTTTAGAGGATTAAGGCTGAGACTGATTAACTTCAAGGCAGACACAAACAGCATGATGGAAGGCAGGTAGGACAACTGCTCACTTCCTGTCAGTAAAGAAGGAGATGCACTCTCCAGTAACACACCACTCCCAAACAAGCCCGCCTTCCTAACAGAACGTTTAAAGGTGAACACTTCTTGTGATGAATCCTCTAATGAGTAGATCCAGATCCAGTCATCTCAAAAAATCTCTACCTCTGACTACTGGAGACTGTTAAATTTCAATCTAAGCCATAACACTACACCTCATTTTTTTCACTAAAGTAATGAGGAAGTCTTAGCTCTATCCTAGAGCCAACTTTCTGTTTGTTTGTTTGATGTTTGGTCTAAACATTAAATTTGAATGATTTTCAATACATTGCTTATGGAGAAATCAGAAAAAAACTGTATGTGATAAATACTGATTCCTTATCAAAAATAGAAAAAGTACATATGTTCAAACTGTCTCTCTGAAAATCCATCAACTGAGGTGTTACTAGCCTTTCTTTTAAGTTATAGAATTAGGTAGGCAATGATATCATGTTTTTAAAAAGGGAGCAGACACAAAATGTAGCTGTGCTTAGAAGTGAAGATTATATAGCCGTTCTGTGAACTTGATTGATACAGACTATTTTCTGTGGATCTGATCACACTGAGACTTTCTGTCCATGGTTTAGTTGGCTGTATTGATCAAATTAATGAAATGATTATTGCATTTGTACTCACTTAGCACTGTGTAGGCTTAACTATTGAAAGGAATTAGGTTTCCCAGACTACAATTTAGTGAACCAGCACTTTAGGGCTCCTATTAAATTTGCAATAAAGTTCACCTCTTAGAGTTTCGGTTTGCATAAATGCCATCTAAGAAATGGCCTGTAGTTTTGAAAGAAAAGGAATTTACTCACAAGTAAACGTTGATTATTGATTTAGTCATGCTCCTGCTCAGAATGACACTGTGTATCAAAATGTGCATTACTAGTTAAGATTGTACATGTATTATTAGTTAAGTGTATTGCTAGCTAAGATTGGAAAAAACAAACACCAAAAATTAGAATTTCATTAATTTGAAGGGTAGAAACCATATTGGAGAAAAATTAATATGCATTAACATAAACATCTGACAAAATTAATGTTTCTATCTCTCTGACAAATTATGCACTAAAAATTCAGAAAGAATTAATTTGAACTGAATGCTTTGAAAGATCTGTATTGTCTATAATTTTTAAGACATCATCTGATGCTCCTATGTAATTTGGCTATATCATATAACTCCCTACCTCCTCTAGCATACTTACATACCCACGAACTAGACATGTCTAATTGTTGTAGCTTCTATACCAAGTTGCTGACTACTAGAAATCCTTCCAGATGGCTGGAACATTGCTACGGTAGCTGAATATTTTAACAATCTGGCCACGGTTTTCTTGACTGTAAGGCTAATGCTTTCAAAAGAATCGCAAGGGTTGCAAAAAAAATCAAACACGTAAAATTAATTATGCAACTTAAAATGTTGACTGTAGGAGTTCAAAGAGCTTAGGGTTTCCTGAATATATTATTCTCGCTATTCATGAAGCAGCTATTAGCACTATTGAGATGTAAATATGTTTTTAGGAGAAAATTTAATCATTTTCCTTTAGTAAGAAACTATTAAATATACTGTTACCTACATGTAACGGGACTTTCTCTTTATTTACGCATGTGGAAATCGAATTGTGCTCAAGAAACCTTTTACCCTCTCTAAAGTGTGAAAGCAGTAATATAACCTTCATTAATCATCTAGATGGATGAGCTTGCTTTTATTCAATTTTCATCTTCATTCCTGTATTTTCCTCTTTCTTGTCTTTTCTTGTATCTTGTTTAGAAATCCAAATTAAATAGAAGTAGCCATAAGAAAAAGGACATCACTATTTTATATTTGATAATCTAGCCCATTCTGAAAATATTCTTTGTGCTTAAATAAAAGCAGAGCTTGTATTTTTTCTCTGTGATATGTCTTCCTTAATACTAAACACTATCATAAATGGCATGAGCTTATAATTTAAGCTACGACATTCTGAATATGAAATCAAACTATAATTCAAATCCTACAATATGTCTGAACCAAAACAACCATGATGTCTTTCTTGACTGGATATAATTATACTTTCTAGTTACCCATGATATGAATAATTGTAATTGAGTAAAAAGAAATATATTAAAATAGCAACTGAAATATGCTGCATTCAAAAAAATCCAAGTATAATCTCAATCACATTTAACTGATTATTTTAAAACAATTTAATAGCAATCATTTACTAATAATTTTATGTCCGTAAAGTAATTCAAGTTTTTGTGAATTTTAGAAGGATGCCACAAAGTTCAAATCAATTCTGACATAGTTAAAAATTTGCATTTTCAAAAAGAGATCAATTCCTAAAAATTAAACCTAAAAATTCCTTGCAATTAAATTTAACTATTTATGAACATAACAATTTGTTTTTATGCTATAAATACATTATACATTTTTTTGAAAAAACTTTTATCAAAAAATACCAACTGTGATTTTGATTAATGGGAATAAAATTTCCTGTTTTATTTTGCCTTTCTTTTTAATAGTGATGAATGCCTCTTATTAGCTTGGTTATGGCATTCTCAATATTCATAATTTTTTTTTCATTTTTATCATTATGAGGCAGATTTATCATTAAATTTTTTATTACAACTATGATTAAATAAGTAAAGTTTCAGTGATGTAATTTTTGTCACCAGGGCAATAATACATGACTTCCCCTCAGTGTTTTCAGTTTTTAGTATCTGTCCTGTCTCTTGAATCTTTTTGCACATTCAATAAATCAACCCTTCGGAATACAATTTCATGTCTTAACCTCGAAAAAAATCTGTTCATTCTTTGTCCCTGTCTGCCTCTGGCCTCTACCTCAACAATCTCCAAATCTTTACCTCAAAGCTAATGTTCTCTAGTTTGCTATCATTACTTTACTATATACTAAGTACCAACTATCTACAATGTTCAATAAATGCATGTAATTATGAGAGAGTGAATAGCTAGAAAACAATTACTTCCTGTATTCAAGGTGCCACTTCTTCTCTTTATGTCCTTTTTACCAAAGTCTTTGGGGTTCTATCCCTGCATTTCAACTTTATAGTACTTTACATGAGTTTGTACCAGACACTATGCCAAGCTGAGTAACACTCCTTTGCTGGCTGTTAGGAGATCACCAGTTTGATGATTATCACTATTGACATCTGCCTGGGCTGGAAGTGAGAGTGATGTCAAGACAGGCTGGCAGTCTCTTTCAAATCACGTGGTACAGTCTGTCTCTACTTAGGACCAGAATAATTCTGCAGAAGAAACAGGCAAAAGAAACATAAATGTGAATGCCTCCCTTGTCTCAGCATTCAGAAAGCTCATAAAGCAAGGTTAAGTTTAGTGATGATTCCTACTGATTGCTTACAGCTTCTTAGTCAGTTAATAGAGATTGGGAGCTTGGATTTAGAAGAACAAAGTGACACTTGGTAAGTTGAATTGACCTTGATTTCTATTTCAGGTGCAAACTGATAAGGCAGTAGAGAACTAGAATCTTTAGTGCTGCTGTCCACAGATCCATAGAGTGGCTGGAACAGGAAAAGAGAGTTCTTTACTGATAACCTTGGAAAAACTAGTCATTAATTTGGAAGGACTGGATGAGGTGATATCTGGTCTCCTTCCAGTCCTAACATTAAAAGATCTTAATGCAGCCACAAGAGATCCGGATTTTATATATGTTAAGAGTTAGACAAATATCATTACATAGTTTCTATTTTTATACTCTCTGGAAGCAGCAGTCATACCTTACTACCATAAATACAATTTTCATGTTCATGGGGCATTTTTTCTAACTTATTGTGTTTAATTCTATGATTGTCATTGGACAAGAAATAGAGCAATAATATAAAAATCTAAAACAAAAACACTTAGCAGCATTACCTCAAAAACAAATTCACAGTTTATAATTTAGACAATTACATTTTAAAGTAAGTGACTAAAGAGTTATACTATCTAATATAGGTATTTAACTTGGGATTACTGATTAAATCCACATCCTGTAGAACAATTATAAAGGCATTTCTCCTGCCCAAACTTGAACTTGATTGTTATTTGTATATGTTTATTATACCTGGTAATTTCATAGGTATTTTTCTTTTTGAGTAAAAAAAAGAAATCCAAAAATCCCTTGACGGAAATAACTCAGCAACAGGTGATGTGAATTACTACCTGCAGAATTTGTGTATTTTTTTCTGAAATAAAATTATCCAAACCATTCACACTTTCATTAAATCTCTTATTAGCTATTGGCATAATAATAGTCTTGAATTGAAAAAATATGACTGTAATGGTTGAAGAAATAAAAATGCCTCCTTTTGATCTGAGGCACCACTCAGAATTATCCTACTGGAACTTTCATTCATAGAAAGATGCAAGTACTTTATGGTTTCCTCCACCACCCTGAGTACAAAAAATTGAAAGTCTCTTTTAACTTTCTATATATGTCTCTTTATAAAACTAAATCTCTAGAATATAATATACAAATTGATTAATAAGTACAGATAGGGAAGCATTCATGATATTTGTCCTTAAGATTAAAATATTAAAATATTGAAATTTTTCATTGGATTTATTTTAAAAGATTTGCATATATTTCTAGAATGTCAACCTTTCTCACATGACATACTGCAGCTTGAGAATAAGTTTATTCAATACTGATGAATTTGCTATCTCTTCTTTAATTTTCTGCAGGACATAGATAACATAGCTGTATGTAGTGGTTGTATGACTATTTTAGTAGGTAATTTACTATGCATGCTTAGAGTCCAAACATACACATCCAGAGCATACACATACATGCACACCAGTTCACATGCACACATACTACACTACATAGTTTGTATACTACATAGAAACACCCTTCTTGCTTTGCAGAACCTTTACAAAAAAACAGTACTGTACACTCTATGAAATCATATAGGATCTCTGCCCTCTGCTGGTGCCTAGTAGAAATAATAGGCTTCCCTCAGGATTTTTGCTGAGTAAAATCTCTGAAACATCTTCATCTTTTTGCAGAGCCTCCTCGCTGGACAAAGAAACCTGAGAGTGCCGTGTACAGCACGGGGAGCAGTGGCATCCTGCTTTGTGAGGCTGATGGCGTGCCACAGCCCACAATCCAGTGGAAAATCAACGGGTCCCCAGCTGACAGTGAGGAAACACTCTGTAACATGAGAAAGGAGGGAGTAATGGGATGGGATAGTATCTCTGATACTGTGCAGAAGTGGAGTAGGGACAGTACTGTGCTGACAAAAGAGATCTAACCAGGAATCAGAAATTGCCTCTCTATGAGCAGTTTGACTGTTGAGACCTGATAATCATGGAAAAGCCATAAATAACGATTATGTGATTAGGTCATTACATTAACCACATAAACAATGATCTTAAACTAAAACAGTAACTGAACAGGAAAGAGGATGACTCAAAGGTGGAAGCCAATTGTTATTTTCCCCCCTGAGATGGATACAGTGCCTTGGTGGTTGAGAGGACAGTTGGAAGTCAACTCCTCTTTTAGATTCACACAGCAGCTGTCTCTGTCCTGAGCTCTGCCCCTGTCCTGCCTACCCTCTGACCACATTTTTCTTCATGATTTGGAAAATCCCCAAGGACAAGGAGACATGCTAAGCTTGCATCTGTGCTTGGTACCTGGCCTGTTCTCCACCAAACTCCAGTACTCAAGACAGAAAGTTTCCTGGTTCAGTTACTCAAAGTCCCTCCAGAAGTAGTGCGCAGGCCAGAAAGGCCTAGGACTAATGGCACCATCTCTTCATGCTCCACACTCCAACATGGAGCTCCAAAGTCCCAAATTCTCAGTTTGAACCCAGAGCTCAGGTCATTTTTAAATAAATTCGTTCAGGCAGGAGACGAGTATATGTTTTATGTATCAGTCAAGTAACTACCCAGAACAAGCAGTATGCTTGGTTCGTATGTGGCTGCCACTGGTTCCTTGATCCTGGACCAGTACATGTTAGTTGTACCACACGGAATGCCATGGACTTGATATCCTATCTAGGCCACATAGCTGTCTAACTCTTTACCAATTCTCCCCATGCTCAAGTTTTTAGAACTTTAAAATGGAGATTATGGTAGTTGATTATGATCAAATGAGATAAATAGAACCAGCCACGTAGGGCAGTGGTTTATGTGTAAGCACTGTGGTCCTTTGTAAACTCTGGAGCCAGACTGCCTGTGTTTTCATGTTGGCACATCCATTTACCAGCCTTGTGACTGGAAATGCTACTGACCCTTTAAAACCTATTTCCTCATCACTAAGAAAAGAAACAAAAGCAGCAGTGACTCAGGGGGTTGTTATGTGCAATAAAGAGAATGCCATTCTGAGAATGTTTTGCACAGGATCTGCCAGAAGAGCAGAAAACTCAGAAGATTGTTTATTGCCATTATTTGCACAAAAAAACCTCAGGGAATCTTAGCATATATCATTAATATCTTCAAATTTGAAACTTTTCCTCATTTCTTCAGAGAACTGTACAACAGATAAAATAGGATTTGGGGTAGATAAAAGGGATTTGAAATCAATTGTTTCTAAAGAAAACTAAGATTGCTCAAATGGGGAATGTAAGTTCTCTGGAACATACACAAGCTTATAATTGTATATTTGATTGGTGCTTGTCTATTTATGACAATCATTCACATATTCTCAAAAGAAAATTATAAAGGAGGTACTAGTATATGCATTTGGCAAATGTATTCATATAATAGCATTCACTGAGCACCTCCTATATGTTGCATAGTGGCTTATTGCGTGGGTTGTAGCAGTGAATAAAATAGACAGAATCCTTGCCCTGCCAGATCTAATATTCTAGTGACAAGAGAGTCAATAGACAAGCAACCATGTAAAATAGCTAGATAAGAAGAGGGAAAGGAAGATCAGGACCTTGGTTTGCTCTGTTATTGTAATATCATGTGAAACTCTTGTGATGATATACCTCTGAGTTGAGACTGGAAGGAGAAAAGGAATTCAGCCCTGCCAATAAGCATGAAAATGCTTGTAGGACAGAGAGATGAAGGAGTATACAGACCCCCCACCCCAAGATGAGGAAAAGAAAGGGCCAGGTGTGACTGAAGCTGAGGGAATGGGGAGAACTAGGTATGAGGTCAGTCACGGTGAAGGCACCAGAATGCAGGTAAAGTTAAGTGCATGTGGAGACTACAGATGTTTTTGGAATTAGGTGTGTAAATCTTGTAAGATTTTAGGAATGAGGGTAGCACTGTGATATAATGCATCTTTCCCCATATGTTTGGAGGATAAGGACTTTCCTTTATGAGACTACCTGAAAGATGCTAACACCTTAAGTTTGACATCAATTGTAGTAGTGGTTAGGTTCTGAATTTATTCTTAAAGCAGGATTAACAGGTTCGTTAATGGATGACATAGTTGAAAATAAACTCTGGCAGATCTGGAAATAAAATTACATCTCTGGACCTAAGTTCAGTGTTCTTAACACAACTCTTGAGTAAAGCTATCCTACAACCTCAGTAAACAGTTCCCAATCATGTCTAGGTTGAGTTGTATGATTATAGTAGGCTAAGTGAAGGGTGTGAAACCTCTTGAACTAATTATTTTAGAAGTTGATATTTTAAAACTGTAATATCTATTTAAAAATTAAAGCAAAATAAATACTGCTCTATGATTTCGCATGTTCAGCATCCAATATTTCTACATTGTCCTGCAAGCTTAAAAGTATATATTTTATCATTCTGTAGTTTTCATATGTAGCAACTAAAGCTTACAGAGATCATTTTACTTGGGGGACATAATCCCAGTAAATTTAAAGGTAGAGATGGGACACAGAAATGAATCAAGTAAAACACGTTGCTTTCTACCCCATGTCACATTGTTTTCCATGAATCTTATGAAAGAAAACTTCACAAACAACTTCTGAATTATATAAGAATTAGCATTTTTATTGTAAACATTAAAAAATCATGGTTCATTTGAATTACAAAACTATAATGTGGCATATTGTGCAATTCTCATGCCATTCCTGGAAGGCCAACTTGAGCAATGTTAATTGTGTTTCATTTCAAACATGAGACCATTGTCTCGCTTTCTCTTCTGTAATACTCTACTGATTCAGAGCCAGTCATGGGAATGATGGCAAAAGGAAAAACTAAATGGCATGCCTGGCTAACTGCAAGTCTAGCATCTCTGATGGTGCAGTATAGGAGCACAAGATCAGATTAGACACTTAATTTCACAGCATTCTTTCGAGTTCAGATCTAAAGAATTTGGAAGTTAATCATCTTGCTAATTTTCAAGCATAGCTGGTAAATTGCCCCAAAAATTTTATTAGGTTTCCAATATTACTTTAATAGTTTACCAGAAGTTTAGTGACTTAAAGTAGTACAAAGTTACTGTTCCGCAATTCCGTAGGTTAGAATTTTGGCACAAGTCTTGGTGGGCTAATATTTAGAGTGTTGTGGTCCTTCCTGGAGATTCTAGAGGAGAACTAGAATCGCACTTGCTTTGCCTTTGCTGGCTTTCAAAGGCTCTTTATAATCTGTGCCCCATAACTCTTCCTCCATCTTCAAAGCCTGCAATATTTCATGTGTCCAACCTTTTTTTCCATAGTCACACCTTCCTGTGGCCACAGCCAGCAAAGGGTTTTCTGACCTTACAAAACTTGATAGTTACATAGGGCCAGCACAAGTAGTCCTGGAGGATTTTCTAATCTCAAATCTCAAAGTAGCTTAGTCTTAATCACATCTGCAATGTTCCTTTTTACATGCAAATAAAATATTTACAAATTCTTTCTAGGGCTTAATTTGTTAGATTCCTTACGGAGATTTTTCATGAATAAAATTCTGACCAATATAATTTTTAAAGTCATTTTAACAAGTCTTTACTAACTGTCTGCACTGTGATAGCTGCCTCTCCAGAAATAGATAAAATCCACCCAACCACATGGGCAAGGTACAGCCCTCTGGAGCTCATGACTCCACGAAAAAAGAATATATAACAAGGGTCTTCTCTCGTAATGTGTCACATCTCATGTTTTCTAAAATCTAAAATTTACTGTAGTGATTATTTTGCACAGTGGAAACACAGTAAGAAAAAAAAAAAGATTGGTGATCTTTCGTCACTTAAACTAAAACTTAAATGTTTGTCCCACATTCAACATTCTTAGCCAACACATAATTTTTCCACTGCTTTTTTGTTGTAGTTGTAGGAAAAGAATGTGATTGGAACCAGAAAAATTGTTAAATGCTGTGGGATATTTCATTCATCTTTTCTGAAATCACCTTCAAAACTCTCCTTATAAATGCTGATACATCAAGCTCTGAGTAGAGTTAACAAAATCGGCAACATACAATAAAATTATTTAGACCTTAATAAATAAACAGATATATTAGATATACTCATTTCCAAAGATCATTCCACAATCAGGAGTAAGCTGATAATTTATTGCAAACATTTGAAAATCTGACCTTTAACATCAAGGAGAGTTTTGTGTTACCGGGAAGGTGATGGGCATGTATCTGAAGTAGTTACATAGAAAAAGCACATTAAATCGATGATATGGGTCAGAAAATTTCAGAAGGGCTGAGGAATGTAAGTGTCAAAGGAGGCAACTGCAACTGTTGGGAGATTGGGGGGAACACTTTGTGTTTCTTATATACTTTGTGCTGTGTAAAATTAAGATCTAACTTCAAAAGAATAGATGAGAGGCAGTACATGGTGAGATTTGAGTACCAAATGGATAATGTGGAATCGTATTGTAAGTAGGGATATAAAAAGGCAGTATGATGTTTTTATATCAGCAGATATTCTGGCAACAAACGTTAGTTTGAAGAAAGCTTGAAAATATAAAAGGATCTGAAAAGAAAGATCCGTGGTTAGTTAATGTTAAGAAAGCCTATAAATTGGCTTCAGTGCACTATTATTCACCCTAAGATGGTTTTAAAATATAAATACTGTGTGACACATTTAATAAATGGTATATAAATATTTTATGTCCTATTCTTTATCATACTGACATTCTTTAATCACTTTCAGATCATCTGTTTGCGGGTGATGTTGTCTTCCCCAGGGAAATTAGTTTTACCAACCTACATCCAAATCATACTGCTGTGTACCAGTGTGAAGCCTCAAATGTTCATGGGACTATCCTTGCCAATGCCAATATTGATGTTATAGGTGAGCACACCTGAGAACAGAAAAACAGAAAGAAAATATTCAGTGATAGCTGGTCATACACACCAGTTGAATATTTAGCACATAAAACATGAGCAAAAAAAATATTTCACTTTACATGTGTACTTAATACTCTACGGTGAAATTTTACCTTCAAAATGTGTTGAGTTTGGACACTTCTGGATTTTAAAACACTGAACTATAATATTTGTGAAATTTCACCTTCAAAATGTATTGAGTTTGGGCACTTTTGGCTTTTAAATCACTGCACTATAATATTTAGCTGTCTTTCATTTTTGTCTATATGGTGGAGAAACTTTTACAGGTAATATGTTAGTAGTTTTTAAAATAATCTTTAAAACTATATTTTGTTGTTTTCAAATAGATGTCATTCCACTGATACAAACTAAAGATGAAGAAAATTACGCTACGGTGATTGGCCACAGTGCTTTCCTACATTGTGAATACTTTGCTTCACCGGAGGCAGTTGTGACTTGGTAAGCTGCCACACTGTTCTCCTAAGACAACATCACTGGTAGATTGTTGCTTTGTTTCTTCATCCATCATTTGACAAGCTGCATTGTATCCATGTTGTTATATGGAGTCAATGCCTCTGAGAAATAAGGTAGCAAACTTAATAAGCTGTGTCTCCTGAAAACGTTGGCAAGGTTTCCAGGATTTTCTCACATGGGGAAATAATTAAAGCCATTTGTATTCATAAAGAAAAGCAAAGAAAGTGATTCCTTAGATAACTTTAAAGACAGATTTGGTCTTTTATTATGGAGAACTATACCGTTATATATCGCTTTACCGTTGTCATTATCAAAGTCTGCATTTAACTTCAAATACAGATGTTAAAACATCAGCAGCATTCATTTTTACTTTCATTTCAATATTTTATTTGGACACATCGTCTTATGGATCTGCCATATTGGTTACTGCAAAGATTGGTTAAACTGTTTTTGGATAATTGTGCCATTGTTCTGTAGGACCTGGTGTAGCATGAAATGACACAAGGTCATTAAAGTGCAGAGTCAGATCTTGTATATACTTAAAATTAAAGGTCAGCATTTTTTTTTTTTGCATTTATAACTTTAAAATATTCCGGTAACCAAGGCGTGTTAGTACATGCCTGTAATCTCAGTTCTCTACGGACTGAAGCAAAAGGAACACAAGTTTTGGAGCCTAGACTCAGCAGATTAACAAGACTTTCTAAAAAAAAAAAAATGTTAAAGAGTTGGGGCTGTAGTTCAATATGAAGGAATTGGGTTCAGTTCCTGGTGTGGGAAAACAATTCACAAATCTAAGATACCATTGATGTTGCTTATTTAAATGTTGGGTACCCTTTGAAGCGTCTCTCTTGAGGAAAGCCCCTTCTCTTCAGCCCAGGCTCCACCTGTGAAATCCTTTGAGCCACAGCCACAGTTTGGAATGAAAGCAATCACTTACGGTGAAATGTACAGGGTGAATCAAATGGTGGCAGGAAGTGCTAGGAAAATAGAAGAGTATAGGAGAAAATGGCTTTGGGGTTGATAGAATAAATCTAATCCATGTCCACAGAAGACATAAGACTTCGTGGCTTATAATATTTCTGATTGACCAATGTTTTACCAGAAGAGCAGGAGGTTTGTGAGGTGTATTATCTCTTTCAATTGCTAGCTTTCCCATTTAGCACTCTGGGGCAATCATTAACTAAAGTGCTCACCATCAGTAGGGCAGAAAAATTTATTAATCTCTGAGGACAGATGCAGAATGGTGCTGATAGCTATGAAGAAAACACCTGAAAGAAAGAGCAGAGACTGGATTTCTTTGAGCTGCAATTCACTGTAGCAGATAAGATACGCATCTGTAACTTATGCTGAAGAATTGTACACTCCAGTAGAACATTTCAAAAGGTTTGCTAAGCTCCTGAAGAACAGATGAGTCTGAATGACATCAGCAACAATTAACAAAACAAGTTCCAAACCAGTCTCAAATTTCTTTATGCTTTGCTTCCCTACAGGCAGAGAATGGATGAAGCACAACCTCTTGAAGGTGGTCGGTACCGTATCCATAAAAATGGTACATTAGAGATCACTAGGACCACCGAAGAAGATGCAGGATCGTATTCTTGTTGGGTAGAAAATGCTATCGGAAAAACTGCCGTCATCGCCAATTTAGATATTAGAAGTATTTTGATTTCAATTTTATTTTGCGTTGGTTCAGTCTATCTACCTTTCTCCAAATGAAACAGTCTAATTTAAGTTTTAATGATTGTTTAGATCCTTTCTTAAAAGTCATAGATTGAATTTCTTCTAAAAAGATTATTGTAAGCATTACCGAGTATGCTGCATCCATGACTTAAAATAACTGTAAGATGGAACTGTAAGATAGGTGTAAGATGACCACCAATGAAACAAAAATTTCCTATTCTACTTATTAAATGGTATCTATTCGTATGAAATTGATTTATTTTAAATTGAAAATTAACAGTAGACTGTTTAGTAATACACACTTAATGCTAATTCAATTTAGCAGTGCCTTCAAATTTTATGGCTGGGATAAAAAGTAAACAATTTATTAGCACCTTTGGTTTTAACTATTTCCTTGAGAGAAGTTTAGATAGTGCATGGTGGTTTTATCTAAGAACCTCCCCAGGTCTCAGATAACAGGATAATAATCATTTAACTTTAATATGCTATTAAAACCTTGGTGTGTTGGCTCATGCCTATAATCTCAGAATTCTGGAAGGCTGAGATCACAAGCCCAACCTGAGTCATTTGCCAACTTAGAAGTGTAGCAAGACCCTGTCTCAAAATTTAAAATTGTAAGAAGAGCTGCAGATGTAGCTCAGTGAAAAAGTGTTGGGTTCGATTCCCAGTTACACACACACACACACACACACACACACACACACACACAAAGTCATTAAACAGTATCATTAAAGAGCAAAGATTGTATGATTTGAAGCAATCATAATGACGCTGATATTTTTGAAGGTACTAGCCTTCATAACAAGTTTTGAGCTTTATAATGCTGATAATAATCATTTATCTTTATGAACTAAAAGTCTCATTCACTATAACTTATTCACCAAGGCATTCAGAAATGTATTGAGTGCCTAACGTGCATAAGCTCTCTTCTAGGCTGCACAACCTGCTTGCTGGATTACATAACAGGCACTGGCTGTACTGTCACGTATCTGGCTTACTAATTCCTACCTTCATGCTGATGGCTCGTTTGTGCCTTTGTTTCACCATTTAACCTTGGGTTTTGAATTAATAATAAAAATACTGATAGAAAATCCAGTAACTTTTTCTGTTCCATTACAAGGTTTTAATTACATACTCAAAAGCATTAAAAGGCAGTGTATTATTTTCAAATCCTAGAGGCATTTTCTCACACTTTGGTTGTGCTTTTTACACAAGAATTTCTACAAAAAATGATCACATTACTAATTGTCACTTGCATGCAAATTTTGTCAGATCTGCATCGAAAGAGAGTTGTAATGATGTATGATGTTAGGGAATCACACTGGGACAAATCTTTAATAGATACAAGTATAATGTTAATAGTTTAGTTCCCTAAATTGCAAGCACTTAGTAACAAAGTAAGCTGTGCTCTATATCCCTAACTAATGTCTTTGTTTGGTGAAAACAGATGCTACAAAACTTAGAGTTTCTCCTAAGAATCCTCGGGTCTCCAAATCACACATGCTTGAATTATATTGTGAAAGCAAATGTGACTCTCATTTGCAACACAGTTTGAAGCTGTCTTGGAGTAAAGATGGAGAGGATTTTGAAATTAACGGTACAGAAGATGGCAGGTAGGTAGGAGATCATGACAGACTATAATCTGAGTTTAAGTTTAAAGCCTTATGTGTAAGAAGTTGGTGTTAAAAATGTTCACCCTGGATAAAATACAAAAACTGATTAGTACATTTCAGTCTTCAAGTCAGTTTTTTAAAAGGTCACACAGTTCTTACTTTTCTATCACATGTTTGTCTTCTTGTTTTTGCTACTGAATTTTCATACTACATGTGACGTCCTTTCAGTGCATGAAGCAGAGGCCCTTCCAGGTCACTGAGGCAGACATATTGCATGGGTTTAAGTTTTGGCCAAAACCTGGGGAAAGCTGGAGGAGCTTGGCCTCAGGACTACCGCTTGGAAATCTGTTGGGTTCTAAATCACATAGCACTGCAGTTGTGACGTAGATCTCTGAAAATGTCTGATGTTCTCAGGGTCACCTCTCCCCATTTGTGCCACTGGTGAGTCTAGTCACCGCCCCCTGCTGTGTCTAGCCTCTGCCCCTCCAGAGCCACTCTGTTCCCATGGTGCTAGAGATCATGATTCCAGTTTTGCTTTTACCTCTCAGGCTCACATGAGTCTTTCCCTGTGGCAGAACTTCAGTCGTATCTGAATCTTTATTTCTAGAAGCTATTGATAAGTATAGCCATCACTTTGTATCTGTGACAGTCTGGTTCCAGTTCCCCCTCCCTGAGATCCCAAAATTCATGGATACACAAGTCCCTTATGCTGTATTTTTCTGTAACCTGTGCGTGTCCTCTTATATACTTCAAATCATCTCTACATTGGTAGCCATGCTTAGTATATTAATACTATAATATAAGCATTACATAATGTTGTACAGTGCATAACCACAAGGGAAATGTCTGTGCATGCTCAATGCAGAGTCAAATGTTTTAGACTATTTTCCATCCTAGTTAAATTCAGCAATACAAAACCAATGAATTTAGAGGACCACATGGATGCTTTTGAGTTTTCTACCATCTGTGTAAAGAATATAGGAAAAGACAGAAGATAAAATAAAGAAAAAATATGAATAGATGCAAAGTTCTAGACAATATTAAGTACATCAAAGAGGGAAAAGAATCAAAACAATCAGAATGCCTAGTTTGTCTTTGAAAATTTCTGGAAGTCAGCTTGGCTTTCTTTATTACTTTACTTTATTACTAAGTAAGAGTTAAATTTTTATCTTGTTGGGATCCAGTCTCCTTTCAAGTTAGGTTTTGCTATTCATTACTCTTAAAATGTCTATCTGAAAGTCTCTAGACAGGATGCGCACTCCTTAGATGAGATCACAACAGAGTCCTGATTCAAAGCCTGGACCCACACTCAGTGGCACGGGTTCAGATCCTAGCTCACTCAGGATTCACATCTGTGCTGTCAGTCTTTTTAATGTGGCTTCAACTCCCTTTTATGTTCTATGACCTAGTTTAATGAAAAATATTAAAAAGATGACTTCATCATTAGGGTACCACAAATTAATATGCTAAGCAATTACAAATACTCCTTTTTCATTACTATGATTTTAATACCATTTTCCAACCTACCTTTCTCATTTCTGCTGTTTGCTGGGCATCTGTTGCTGTTAGTATTCATGTGCACACGTGTACACACTAGTACACCATCACTGCTCAAAAGCATTAGTCTCAGCCTTGATGCCAATTTATCCCTTCCTATGCTTTCTGTATACATAAAGGTTTGTGCAAAACCTGTGCATGTATTGCAACTAAACTCAAACAGAGGGAGATTAATTATGTACATCTGCATTCTCCATCAGAGATCTTCATCCTTAGATCATACTCAGACTAGCTCTCAGTTGCTCTGTCAGTTGACAAATTTACCTAAATTCTCTTTTTCTGTCACAATTACCTGGTTACCCAAGGCCTTCCGTGTAGTCTCTGAACTATAATTCGGAAAAGGAGCAGAGGCCCACCGCATGTTGCCATCCTGATATGCACATTTAGGTTCTGACTTCAACAGCTCCAGTCAGTTCCATAGTTTCTCCGGGATGCTGAACTGACTCTGAAGCGCACTTCCGGCTATCTGAGTGGACTGGTCAGTCACTCAGGTGTGCTTTCAGCTGTCTGTAACAGGCAGTGAGCTAAGGGACAGGGACCTTAGCTCAGGAAGGGCTCAGGTGTGAGGAGGGTGGGAGTGACTGCAGTGACTGGGGTGGAGGGTCTGGTTTGGACTGCTGTCAGGAATAGCCCTGAACTTGTGATCACAGATGTCTGTTTCATTTCTAGAGGACCATCAGTAACCCCTGTTTCCCATCCTCTGGTGATCACTTTATACCTAGGAAGGGAACCACGAGCTTTTGGTTCTGAGAGAGATTAAATTTCATATCAAACACGCCAATAAATGATGAAAGGTGAAATTCTTCCCCTTTCTCCAAATGTCTTTCATGTGTCAGGTTAGGGTAGGTGCTGTGAATTTCCTCTCCAGACTATTATGTCCATGGAGTGCCTGATGTGACGTCAGTACTTCCCATGCACAGCTCTCTACCACTCACATCAGCCTTGTCAGCCCAGCTGCAATGAACCCAAGGGATTTGTGGATTTCTAAACAGGTGGCTATCAACTATACTCTTGTTAGGATGAATGAAATGTATAGCGTGGATGGGAAGCAGTTCTTAAACTTACGCTGTGTTTAATAAGGCAGTGGAGACCATTCATGACCACAGGCACAATGAAGAGCCCAGCTCTGAGGAGGCATAGAGTGGGTGGGGAGGGATCAGTGTGTGAGGCAGCCATGTCCAGGAGGGTACGGAAGGAAAGGTTTGTGACAAACAAGTGTGAGGGCTCTGTCCTCAGCACCAAGAAAGAATTGACTTCTTCCTTTCAGAAACAGCAGCACATAAAAACAGGGAATATGAAGGAGAAGGGAGAGGAGAACAAAAGATCATAAAGTAGTAATAATAGGAGACTTCCTAACAAATCATGAGCTAACACAATATTTGACTTCACTATATTTTGAGGCATTTTTCTATAATTCAAACTTCTCAGATATGAGTTTTATATTAAAAATTTAAATTATTTAAGATACATACTCCATCCCTTCCAGCAAGGATCACACTATTTATATTATTTCAAGTAAATAGCCACTGCTCTGAAAATTCAAATTTAATGGAATTTTGTTTGAAAAATTATGTGAATAGCTATGTTGATAATACAAATGTAAATAATAAAAGATGTATTTTATAAAGAAGCAATTTTCACATAGTAAACTCTGGCAAAAATAGAATAAATGATCAAAAATCTAGTTGAAATGATTTGCAAAAAGATGTGCTGTACTGCCACCTACCGTTGAAATGAATCACACCAATTGTGACCATAAGAACTATTTAGAGTTGGAGAGAAAAGGGAAAGCTGTGTCCAAAACAGAGATTATCAGTGATATTCTGATCCTGTGGAGCTGGGGTGGCATTCGGAAATCTGTTCTTGTAAGAAGCATTCCAACTGATCCTATGTAGGATGTTTTACTCATAATTTAAAATTATTCAAATACATCTTAGCTATTGTGTAGTGTATTTCTTAGATATGGCAGGCAACACATTATTCCATTCTGACATTTGCATCATAGAAAGTTTGTTTACATTTTAAAAATGTGGTCCCATTGTGACTATGTAGCCATTGGTATACGCTCGAATACGACTTTCCTCCAACCCTCATCTAGAATATTCTTTAATAAAATTTGTATTATGTGATGTGTTTCTGTGACTCTTTCTTGTTTTTCCTCTCATTGGAAATATACATGTAGGAAGGGGTTGTATTTCTGTTTTTTCTGCCCTCTTCATAGTCTTTCTTTCTTTCTTTTTCTGACAGGATAGTTATCGATGGAGCTAATCTCACTATTTCTAATGTGACTTTAGAGGACCACGGTATTTATTCGTGTTTGGCTCACACTGCTCTCGATAGCATTGCTGAGATAACTCAAGTAACTGTCCTTGGTAAGTACATTTTTTTATTTTTAAAATTAAATTAATTGATACACTTTCGCTGTAGAGAATGATGATATTCATCATAGGGAATTTGTACCTGTACGTAATGTATCTTGGTTCCTAATGCAAGGAAAATCTCTGTTCTTGTATTCTGCACTGCATATTAAATTGTGTTGCCTCATTGTGATACAGCCAACAATTATTTGATCTCATATATATATGATATATATATATATATATATATATATATATATATATGGTAGTTTGAATTTTTTGTTTAAAAACAGACCTCACTTTTAAATGCTTTCTCCTCTTCTTATGTAAAAAAAGTTAATTAATGCTTAATTCTTTTCCCTACATGGGTAAGTTTGCCAACGGCAGTACAAGGTAAGTGATGCAATCAGCGGAAAAAGAAATTGAAGCACACTTGATTTCGTAGGGCTGTTGAGCTGGCCTTTGTGGTGTGCCGAGAAATGGGGATGAAGAGCGGAACTGGGCTACAGTGGACTGCCTGAGGGATTCCAGTGATGGTTGTACAGTGGTCCCCTCCCCACCAGACCATAGGCTCAGCTTCTAGAGGTCCCAGAAAGATAGGGAGAAAATTTAGGCATTTTGCAAAACAATTCTTTGTTTCCTTTGTCTTGTGTATGTGCTACAATGCTAATTAGAAACTATGTATTTCACCAGAGTAATCAATGCAATTACCCCTGAAATCACCAACATTAGCAGCTCTTGTACCATCTGCTGGATGTTTTCCAATTTCCTATCCAGATTCACTCCATCAGCTCTTTGTCCTGGAAAGCCATCCTGTAAGACAGCATCAGCAAACCACTTGCCCTCTAGCTGTCCTCTGGTGTGGCCCCTGAGGAGCCTTGGGAGCAGAGGAGGTTGGGGATGTTCATTCCCCTCTGTCTCTCCCTTTGTCCTCTGTGTCTTTTTCTCCTCTCCTTCCCAGACTGGTTATGTCCAATTGTTGAAATCTCAGCTTCTCCAGATAAGATTCTGGTAACTTTTCCCCCATGAAAAGTGTTTCAAATGACCCTTACAGCCATCCCTCTGGCATTAAGGAGACCTTATTAAAAACTACTGAACTATCAAACCATGCATGGGTTTTCTTGTGTGTCTTTGACAGCTGCAGACATCATTACAGTTTTCATTTGTTTTGGTTCCAGTGAAGCCACTTAGTCTTCCTTTTAGTTTGATGATATTTCTTAAAAGCATTTGCTTTTGGTTATACTCCTATGTTATATATCTGCATTAGTCATTGTAATGAACAGGACTTTGTATTTTTAACACCCTCATTGCTGGAGTCCACAGATAATTACTGAAAGAGATGCAGGCTGAGAGGGAAAATTGAGTCTCTTCAAAATTAAATGGTGAAAAATGTGTCAGTAAATTGGATCTCTTCCAGTAAAACCAATGGCAACAAGGTTGGGTTCTACTAGAAAAAGAAAATGAAACATATGCGCTTTACTTAGTAATGAGTAGGCATGATATATGTGAGTCTCTTCAGGACTGCACAAGCAGAGAGATTGAATACTTTAGTGATTATTCCAACAGCAACTGGCCAGACAAAATAGTTGCACACTGAGTAAACTGAAACTTACTTGAGGCACCAGGAGGACAGAGCACGTACTGGGTCTACAAACTTTGCTACCAAGTGCTTCAAATAATGGCAGCAACAAGAGAATTGGGTAGGCACTCTCTCAAACTCATTGCAAAACTTTAATTGCATTCCTATAATTAACCTACCATTTTCTACAGTCATTCAACTTACATGGTGTTGAATAAATAGTGATTGTGATCATATATACTATTTATATGTAATTTATCAAACATTTTAGAATAGAACTTTTTTCTGAGACACTAGGATAGGAACTCAGGACCTCTGCACTGAGCTATCTCTCTATCACTTTTTAATTTTTTTTTTTTTTTTATTTTGAGTCAGGTGTCTGTAAGTCACTCAGTAACTCAGTAACCCTGTTTGTGAGTTTGAGATCTTTGCACCTCTCAGAGTGCTAGGATTTCAGGTGTGGCCCAGCATGCTTCAGTTCAAAATATTTTTTGGAGAATATTTATGAGATAAGATGTGTTTTTAAAACCTCATCCTTGAATTTACATTCCAATTTTTTAACTCCAATCTCTAGTTTTAAAAAGTCATGTTTTAACAACTCTCAGTGGTAAATGGTTGTAGATGTACATTTTTTAAAAATATATTTATTTATTTTTGTTTCTTGAATCAGGGTCTCACTATGTAGCCAAGGCTGTTCCTGAACTCATGATGATCCTCCTGCCTCAGCCTCCTGATTGCTGGGATGTCTGGCATGCCTCATCATGCCAGGCAGACATATGGTTTATTAAAGACTTTCAGGCCAGAAAATATATTTTTAAAGCACAAGTTCAACCTGCTTTGATCAGAACTATTTCCATAACGCTTAACATGAGAATGAGAAAATTTCAGTTGCAAGCTCATCAGTTCTAGTGCCATATGATTCACAGAGGACGGGGTTTTAAATCTCAGAAGAAATGTGCTGGCTTGGTTTCTTCTATAAATTTCACAACTTTGTACTTTTAGTAAATGATGAAAATAAATAAGTAAATTCTATGGGCTCAGGGATTCAAAACCTTTTTAAAGAAATGTCTTCCTCTTAAAAGCCCTAAGGTTTAGACATAGTCATGGACCACATATTAAAGGTAAGCACATTCTGTTCTTAACTGGAAATGGTGTTTGTCACCAGAGTGAATCTTCAGCAACTGGCAACTATTCAGCAGGGACAGTGGTTCTTTCTCTTGGGAGAGAAAAGAGCCCACAGAAATGGCCTTTTATTGTCTCCATTGAACACCTTTGTTTCCTTTGAGCAAAGACAATTGTCCCCAAGTGCCTGAGAAAATTAATGGCAAATTTTGGAAGCAATGACCATTCAGATTAGATTCCATTTTACTCTTGCTTTCATTTTAAAAGTGCTGCAGATTTCCGTGTCCTGTAATGCTAGAGTATTTGGCATTTCCTACTCAATTTTCTGCTTTCTTTCACAACCACGGACAGTGCCAGAATCCCTCTTTCTGAATAAACTATCTTCCCACTTGTTTTCAGACTCCAAGCCCAGCAGCATGAAAGTTCCTATTATATATTAAGAATTAGGATGAAAGTTCAAAGTACTTGCAGGAAAAAAAGCGGGGGGGGGGGTCATGTTTCCTATCTTACTTTTAAATTACCACAGGGCCTAATTTTTATTGCTTTTGTATAATTGCATTTGCAGTCAAAGTGACATTGTGTTTATCAAGTATTTATTCACAAAATATTTATGCACAAGGTGCCACAGGCAATGCCTGATCACAAAGGTTTTTTTAATCAAACAAAGAATAACCATGTATATAAGTGATTATGAACTGACGAAAAGCAAATGACTCATCTGAAACACATTTCCAAAACTTGAACCCATATAATTATCAACAGGGAACATGTTTACAAATGGAGATTTTTTGGCTCAGTTCTGTAGGTAAACCGGAGACAGAGTTCAGGAAATGTCATTTCTAAAAATTTGTCTGAAAATAATTCTGATCTCGTGGCAGGGGATTTTGCTTAGTGGAACAAGTGCCTGCCTGGAAAACACGAGGTACACGTTTGATCCCTGGTGCAAAAAATAAAATAAAATATGTTTAAAATTCTAAGTCTCAACAGAGAGTCAAAGATAGCCTTTGAAAACTGTTATCAGAGAACAGGAAAGCAACAGGGCTAACTGTGGTACGAATCTGAAGGATGCTGCATTTGGAATCGTAGCTAAAGACGAGTGAGATGTGAATAAATCAGAGTGTAGATCTCTGACTGAAGAGGGTGGGCAGTGTCTGAGGGACGGAATCAGAGAAACTGAAGCAATGGTCCACATTGTCTTTATTAATCAGATGTTCCAGATCCACCAGAAAATCTTCACTTGTCTGAAAGACACAACAGGAGTGTTCGGCTGTCCTGGGAAGCTGGCGATGACCACAACAGCAATATTACTGGTAGGAAGATTTGGAATAACTATTTTCTTTGACCAACAGGCTTGAAGTTGATTTGATAGCTGGCCATTCTTAACTACTCGGTAGATGTTATTCAAATACTCTTTTAAACTCTCAATGCTGTATATAAATCCTAGTGTGATTTAAGCGTTCTTGGTATTTTCTAACACTGTGTCTGACATTTTCCTGACAGAATATATTGTGGAATTCGAGGGAAACAGAGAAGACCCTGGAAGGTGGGAGGAATTGACTAGAGTCCAAGGAAAGGCAACAACAGTCTTGCTAAGGCTAGCTCCGTATGTGAGATACCAGTTCCGAGTCATCGCTGTGAATGAGGTGGGGAAGAGCCGCCCTAGCCAGCCCTCAGTCCATCACCAGACACCACCAGCAGGTATGCAGCTCCCCGCACCAGGTTTCCATGTTATTTTAGGATATTTTTAAAGATGAATAGTTAGCTTTGGATTTTAGATTTCTCTAGTATGAGCAATTCTGCTAGCAACAAATAAAATATTCAGAATATACTAGGCTCATAAGTATTAATTACTTGTTTGATAGCAATCAGAAAATTGGAGGACAGAGGTTATGTATGAAGAAACAATACTATGCTTTCCAACAGCTGAGCATGATGATTAAGAAATGTCATGTTATAAAGTAAATTTATTATCATAAAGTACATTCCATATTAATGCTCAAACTATAGGGGAAGTCAATGATTTAATTTTCTGAAAACTTTTAATACATTAACAATATCTAGTTTAATTTTCAGTGTGTGTATTTATTTTTAATTCTCATGTATTTAGTATTTTTCTATCGTTGTATCTATCTAAATTGCTTGCTTTTAAAATCTCAAATGTCTTCTGGGCATGGTGGTGCCCTCCTGTAATCCCAGATTACAGGATTACAGGAATACTCCTGTAATCCCAGAACTCAGGAGGCTGAGGCAAGAAGATCATTACAAGTTTGAGATCAGCCTGAGCTACAAAAGTGAACCAAAGGCCAGCCTACACAGCATAAGGAGTGGTCTCAAAAAGACCAAAAAATAAAATAAAATAAAATTTCAAGTATTACAGTACTAAAATAATTTGTGAGCTGATTTTAGGCATCCATATGGTCATACCATGGTATTTGTTGTTTCCTATGTGAAGCAAATAGGCTGGGATATAAATTACTTCTTAGGGTGGAAAAGATGTGTTGAAATAAACTGATTTAGATACTTGTATGATTTTTAACATACATCAAAGAGTACTAAACTCTCTCCTTAGCTCTTACTAATAAAATGTGTCGATCTGTTTGTATTTCCTGGTTATGTGCTGCTCCCTATTTGATGTTCCTAAAACTTAACTGTAGATACATGAGATTTAATTTTATTCTCCACCACAATATAATATCATCAGAATTCTAACGAAAAAGTGTAGCAACTTTAAAATGAAAATGTACTTTTAAAAGTCAAGTTTAGAAATTTAGGTTTCAGATTTAAATATATATATATATATATATATATATATATATATATATATGCACATATACGAGAGAGAGAGACAGAGACAGAGACAGAGAGAAACTTCTTGCTACGGCTACGGAAGGGATAATAATTATTTAACTGTAAAATTTTACTTTATTCCTGTAAATTATATGTATGTTTAAAAGCTGCCTTAAGTATCTTTCAGTATCTAACATTTTAAATTATTAAATACAGTTTATTTAAATATCTAGGTTTTGAGGGGAGTGATATGATTTCCCTGTTAGTTACTCTGTAATGATAAAAACACTTTTAACCCTTGTCTTTTTCAGCTCCAGACAAGAATCCACAGAACATAAGGGTTCAAGCTTCTCAACCCAAGGAAATGATTATAAAATGGGAGGTGCGTATGCCTCAGTGTGTCATATAATTCTTTGTGCTCTTTTTTCCTTCCTTTGGATTCTGCATGTCAAATACAATAACAAAATGTTAATGAAAAAGCACAAATTAATGGGATTCAGAGGTGAAATTTAATTGTGAATTGTCACAAGTGTGTATTTTAAAGATCACTGTGATAAGAATAAGCTGTAAAATGGAGTTTAACATTGGTAAATAATCTAGGGATTAATAAACTGCTAATTTATTGAAATTTGTTCCCAAACATTTCAAAATTACAACAACTTCATTAACAATATTTTACATGTTCTCCTATTCAAACACTAAAACCTTTTCACTACATGGTTTACCAGACATTATGCAAAAAGATAACTTCCAAATAATAACCATCATTTATTTACCTCGGTGGGTATTTTGTTCATTCATTTCTAAATCCGAGAATAATATGTCATTAACACATTATTCTCAATATGCAAACTGAAGTACAGGATGATGAATGTCTTCATTATCCCCATAAAACTAGAAACTAACAAAACCAACTTAAACATGAATGTATTTAGATTTGATTATAGATAATTTCTTATTGCCTGACCAAGATACCCAATGCCTACAAGTTAAAGGAAGAGAGGTTGTTTTAGATCACAGTTTGTAGTGGTTTCAGTTCATAGTCAGAGGGCTCCACGGCAGAGTGGTGTGGCAGAGGGGCATCGCAGAAGAGAAACAGTCCATGGCAGAGTAAGATGAATGCAGTAGTAGCAAAATAAGAGTCCCCTTCCTTATTATCCGTTTTAGGGTACAAGCCTTTTGGGTGACGCCACTTGGGTCTTCCCATTATCCACAAAAAGAACTATATTAAGCCCTTCAGTTAACAAACTTAATGCCATACCTTTAATTTATATTCACATATCCTTTGCATATACTTCCACACCACCCTAGATCCAGTCACTTCTGAAAAATCTCATCTGTGCTCGCGTGAGGCTTTCACCGGACATGTAGATACCAGCCACAGCAGACTGCAAGTGGTACTTTCCCTCTCGTGCATATTCCTGTTAAATATTATTAGACTTTACTTTTTGAATTTCTTGAAAAATTTTTATCTATTGAGATAACTTTAAGTACTGTAGTGTTACTTCCCAGGTTTTTTTTTCCTGTAATGGTAGAAAACTTCATTTTTTCTTTTAAAGCTTAGCCATATTTTATGAGCAAGTATGTTGACATTAATTAATGTAAATTACCATTCAATCCCCTGATTATGAAAAGGCCACTAGCACTGAGTTCATTGAATCATGCAAAGATATAGGACACTTTGTGATAATTCTGGAATATACTAATTTATTTTTGTACTTCATTCAAGTCTTGGTACTTGGAAAAATTTTAAAATACATGAAATTTGGTTTATTGCTTCCTTAAAATATTATATTTTTGTTAATTATGACATACATATCAGTCCATCTCTCTAAATTATTTAGTCAATGTTTTTATATTAAACTTTAAACACTTAATTTTAAATTAAATTTAAAAAGATTGTGTTGATTAAAATAAAAAAAAAAACTTTCTTTGATTTAGTAGCAATAGTGACAGCCATATTGTCTTTTTTTTACAGCCTGAAACTATGTTCATCTTTTATCATTATTTTTTGGCAGGGAGGGTACTGGGAATCAAACTCATGACACCGTGCTTGCCAGGCAGGCACTGTGATGCTGAGCTATATCCTTGGCCTCTTTTATTCTTATAGTGCATATTTGTCTTGCTCTCCTTTAAATTCCATAAGATAGCATAATTGGTGAGATGACAGTGCTACTATGTAATGCTCAGGTCACTTCTTCAGAGAGTGCAGCATGTTTCACTAACATTAGCCCCTGGTTCCTTATCAGTCTTGTGGTAGCTTGGTGGACGCTCTATGTTGTCAGTCATACGCTTTGTACAATGAAGCTGTGACTTTCTAGTTCACTGCCTCACTCAGATGCCATGTCCTGAGTCAGCAAAGAGAAGAGGGAAGAAATCCTCAATTATACTTATTTCTTCTCTTGCTCATAAATCATTCTCTCAAATGACTCACAACTAATGTGCTCTTCTGCTAAGAATGAGACTACACTAAAAAATTGTTTGTAATTTGTCTTTGAAGAGCACATGCCACACATAATTTAGAAATTAACTGATTGAAAAGTAAATAGGAATGAAGAACTACTTTGACTGCTATATTCATAATGTGTGCCATTCTGTCTGTTATGATTTTGAAATGTCAGAGATCTAATAACTAGCAGCTCAGAGAATGAAGTTTAAGGTTAGTAACTGATTATTGTTTTGAATGAATCTTTCCTTTAGTAATGGCATCTTTTAGATGTCAGCTATTTTCAAAATGCACAAGCAAACACTGTGAGTAAAACACCAGACCCCTTCTAGGTACTACTCACAAAATTATCCCTGTCTACACGACAATGATCATAGATACATAATTTGTTTGAAAAGTTGATCGTTCACAAGAGGGTTAGCTACACAGATGAGCAGTAGGAAAAGATTAGATGTTCTCAGTATTTGTTTTAGAATTACACGGAAATTAAACAACACCTTAAAATTTAACTTGATGATAAAAGTAAGTGTTTTAGTGTTCATTATCTTCTAAATTGCACTCTTTGTGTATTAAATAAGTCATGATTTCTCAAATACTTAAGTATTAAAATATGATAATGACCCAGCTCTCAAAACAGAAAAAAGAACCCAGTGAAGCCTGAATAGATAATTAAAATATTCCCCTTTAGATGATTTTTGCTTGATAGTTCCCATTGCTCTTAAAACTATTCATATGAATTTTGAAGCAGTCTAATTTCTTTTTCTTAGTGTTTTTGTTTGTTTGTTTTGTTTTGTTTTGTACCGGGATTGAATTTATGGACCTGCGCTTGTAAGGTAGGCACTTACTAAGCTGAGCTAAATCCCCAACCCCAAAGTGGTCTAATTTTAAAGACAACTAGAAAACAACCATCAAAAAAAAAACAAAAAACAAAAAACAAAAAACAAAAAACAAAAACAAAAACACACACAAAAAAACAAGATATAACATCAAATCAACTAAATTCCACAGTATTTTGGGAAGTAGAAATGCCTTCAATTACCTGACTAAATCAGCCAGCAAAGTTATAAAATTCCTAGTGACATAATTTTTAAATTTATCTTGAGAATATGAAAAGAAAATCTATATGCTATGAAATAGAATTAAATGAAATTCAGTGGAATAATATAAAACATGATGAATGCGTTCATGAAACTTTTTTATTTTAGACAATTATTACGGGAATAAATTTAAAGTCTTTTCTCCACAATAAAATGGTATGTGTATGAAGAAGGCAATAATATTAACTAGCACAGTTTAGGTGTTAAGAGTTGCATGCGTATTTCAAAAATGCTGTATCTAATACATATGCACAAACAGAAACACACACATTTTGTAGTTGTCAGTTAATAAATAAAACTGTTCAATTACTTTTTACAGAATGGATTTAAGGTAGGGTGGTGATTCATTTATTTTCTAGATTGGTAGTTAAAACCTTATTTATCGTAGTTCTCTTTGAAAATATGATAGAAGCAGAGACTCCTTGCTAACAACATCATGAACTTCTCAGATCCTTTGACGGTCATCTGTGTACTCCTATCTAGAGATTCCTAGACACCAATTTAATAAACACCATCTCCTGTAAAGACTTCTTGCTCGTGGTGCACTGACTTGTGGCCTTCCTGCCTGCTTTATCTTTGATCTTCTACTTTACCTTTGTTCTTTGTGATGGAGTTTATTTAAGAATTGTTGAGATGCTGCTGTTCACTGCCCCAAAGACAAGTAAAAGTGCCCCTGCTGTTTCTTCAGGGGCCCAGGTACAAAGAAGATCTCACAATATAGCTAAAAGAGTTTTCATAACAGTAGCACATTTTACTTTCAAATACCTGTGTACTTTATTAAATTTAACTATATTCTTGGAGCAAACACATAAATTGAGTAATCTTATTTGTGTATATTTGCTGTCAATAGATGCTGAAAGAAATTATAATTCCAGATTGTATACCGAGCTCAAAGTTCATATTCTAATTCTCTTGGAAAATGCGAAAACCCCTGGTGAATACATATCTGTTTCATGCTAAGAAATACTTTGGAACGCAACTTTTCAATAAATGGAAGTACAAGTAGTGACCTTAAAAATTCTCAGAAAGTTTTTGTTTCATTTGGATTTTATTTTCTGAGGTAACTTAAATATTCATCTTGGAATGAATATAAAGCTACTTGCTGATACAGCATGATGTTTTCAATTTAATTCCAGTCAGTGCCCATAATAAGCATTTTAGTGACTTATACTGAGGGAAGAAGCATTACCAATTCTTGAAGAACATTTTATATGGCATTATTGTAACACATATCAAATGAAATTATGCTTAAAATAAGTGAACTTTATGTAAGTGTTTATATAAATGAACAATCTATAAATCAAATTTTATTAAAACATACTTTAAAAATATAAATGATTTGAATAAAATTTCTATTTGTGAAATTAAATGGGTAGTCTAAATTATATTTTTTCATTAGAGTATTGTTAATTAAAACTTAGAGTGGAAATATCCAGCTTCTTTTACTAGAAATCCTTCACCAAATCCATTTAGCAAAATAACATGGGTGAGAGAAGCATTTTCCCTTAAAGAAACACAATGGTTATGGAGCTTGGAAACTACTTTACCATAAGAAGGAACTACTGTTTCTGGGGTACAAATATATAAACATGTGTATTCTCCAAAGTTAAATACTGACTTTATCTCTTTCCACTTAGGAATAAAGATAGCAAAGATGAAATCAGGTGATCAGGCGTAGTTTGGCTGAAAAGCTATGAGGAATTCCCATTTATAATCTAAGAATGTATTTCAATTCTGCCAAATTCTCTGGAAATGAAAAGACAGGATATAGTTGAAGGCTTAGGCAAAAGCTAAAACCCTTTGTGGAATTTATTTGTAAATTATTTCATATATGCAAACTCGTTCTTACCTACAAGGGCATGATTCATAATGTAATGTGATAGAGGGCTAATAAACAAGCTTAAATTTACAGTGACAAAAATTTTCACAACTATGTCTGATCCCAAAGTGGGTATTTAAGATCTCTTTGTAACACTCTCATGCCACGTTAAAGTGATTTCCTGCTCTGTCTTTGTCAGTTTATTCATGGTCTTGGCTTCTGTTTTAGCCTTTGAAATCCATGGAACAGAATGGGCCAGGGCTGGAGTACAGGGTGAGCTGGAAGCCACAAGGAGCCCCCGTGGAGTGGGAAGAGGAAACGGTTACAAACCACACGTTGCGGGTTATGACGCCCAGTGTCTATGCTCCTTATGATGTCCAAGTTCAAGCCATCAATCAGCTTGGCTCCGGACCTGAGCCTCAATCAGTGGTTCTGTATTCTGGAGAAGACTGTGAGTGTTGCACCTGAAACCTTAAATCCTGGAAGACATTTCCTTTGAGTGTACTGCATTCCTGACCACAAACATTTTGGGGCACCTACTGAATGTGAAGTGAATATCTTAGCTGTAAGACATAAAAGATGTATATACATGCTTTCTCCTGTAGGGTTCACCACGGGACAGGTGACCAGTGCACAGTGCTGACCGAGTAGTTTGAAGCCTCATTTTCACTCAGTTCCTCAGTAATTTCTGTTTTGAAAGTCAAATACTACTTGAAATTATCACTACTGTCAGTTGGGCAGCATTGGTATCACGAGGTTTTCAGTTAGATTTGCCTGTACTAGACAAGGGCATCCTCACAGCCACCTGCTGTCATCCAGTGGCCTCACTTGATGGTGGGATCCTTTCTAATTCTAATGAGGCCCAGATCCAGATTTCAATATGGAATTTTGAAATATTGGTGAAACTAATGGCATAATAACTGCTCCAATTCCTGGAAAAAGAGAATACATTATATTGTGTTTTGAGTTATTTTCATTGTTCTTCTGTCATGTAGAGTGGTATTTTGATCCAAGAAAAAAGTGAATAAGAAATAACTTCTTATTCCTTTGCTGTTCAAATTTTTTCACTCAAATCTAAAGACACAAAATGCATCATTGTGAACTCTGTTTGAATCTTCAGCACTTCGAGTTAGTTCTATTCTTCTGCATACACTTCTTGATATATCAGAATAATGATATCCATCTCATAAAGTGGCTCTTGGATTATGTTACTAGTGCTTGACAAATAGAATATGTTCAATTAATATTAACTGTTGTTATTAGTCTTTAATTAACCAAAATTTCAAGTAATTTTTCAACATTACTTCTTTAGATCACTTGCTTTAAAAAGCAACGGGCCCGCAGAATATTCTACTGGACACTGCTTTAAATTTCCATGCCTATTTGCCCACATTGTGAATATCTAGATAACTTCATTTTTCAATGCGGTATGGTGTGCCCTCTTCTCCTAAGGGTCCATTTTGATTGAGAAAATTCTCTGTGATAATAAGCTCTTAGTGTCATTTGGAATTGATTTCACAAAAGTGCTTTCCCCCAGTAAACATTATAAAAATCACCATTGGAAAGGGTCATCATGTCATGTTTGGAGTTTACTGGAATTTAATCTACCTTATATTCTTCACAGATCCTGATACTGCACCAGTGGTTGTTAGTGTGGATATTATAAACAGCACATTAGTTAAAGTTACCTGGTCAACAATTCCAAAGGACAGAGTCCATGGACATCTGAAAGGATATCAGGTTTTTATATTCTTTTCTTCTGGTTGTTGAATTTATCTGTTCATGAACTGTTTCAGAAGAAGTAAAAAGAGAATCTCTTACCATTGTTGCTATGCTAAAGGGTTTGTATTTTCATTGCAGATAAATTGGTGGAAAACAAAAAGTCTGTTGGATGGAAGAATACATCCCAAAGAAGTAAACATTCTGAGATTTTCAGGACAAAGAAACTATGGGATGGTTCCTTCTCTAGATGCTTTTAGTGAATTTCACTTAACAGTCTTAGCCTATAATTCAAAAGGAGCCGGTCCAGAAAGTGAGCCCTATATATTCCAAACACCAGAAGGAGGTGAGAGAGTAATAGTGAAGAATAATCCCAACAGTGAAAATTATCCAATGATCACGCTAAATATTTTCTTTCTTAGTAGTTAATATGTACTTCATATGAGATAATTCTTCCATTTCTATAAAATTTAGTAATCCATTGGGACTTTTGTTTTTCTTTAGAAATTTACTAATTTATGAGTAGTCACTCATGATTTTATGTTTTCTAGTACCTGAACAGCCAAGTTTCCTTAAGGTCATCAAAGTTGATAAAGATACAGCTACGTTATCCTGGAATCGACCTATGAAGCTAAATGGAAACTTAACTGGATATCTATTACAATACCAAATAAGTAAGCAGAAAATTGAATTAAGGTTATAAGCTAGCATTTAATTTTTGGTTTAATAGTTTGTTTGTATATGAATGATCTAAGAATCACTTAAGACTGTAGTTCATAGGCTATCATACTTAGTTATAGCACAGTTACGTTTCTGCCCCTGTCAATTATTATAAGTCAATAATTGGAACATGGCTTATAGTTACACATTTCCTATAGCTTTTTTCTCATGGCAAAGAGGATATATTGTCTTTGGAGTCTAAATATTTAGTCTAGGCAATATAGAAAGTTTTGCTGATACCTGTTCTAGAAGTAAAACAGTGTACCATTGGGTGCCAGAAAATAGATTTATTATTTAAATGCAAAGAAGCCTTGAGAATTAAGACATATTTCAAGGAATAGCATTAGTAAGCCATATAGCAGCTATTCAAAGGATATGTGACTACCAAACTATGCTACCTTTTTGGCTTCAGATCTATGACTATAATCCCAACCTAAATATACTTGTGCTAATAAAATTCTCTGTTATCTCTCTAGTTCAAGCAGATAATCTCAAGAGAATTGAAGACTTGTTTTCAAACAATACTTAGAATAATCTATTTCTATGTGCTTCTGTGCCATTGGGTTAAAGTATTTGAACACAAAATAGATCACTTTAAATCTTAGCACCTGCTACCTTAATAGTGTTCAAACCTGAGCTATATCTCAAAATAGATATTAGGTGACTGAGACCACAAAAAGTTTAGTAATAGCCCAACAATGAACCCTTTAGAATATCAACAATCTATTTATGGATTCTATATAGAATCCCTAATATATAGAATCCCAAAATAGAAAAACAGGGATACTACAGAGAATCAGGATCCTCTGCTTGCAAAACATAATTGAATCTTTGTCCTGGTACTGTGATGGGATATCACCTGAACAGCAACCAGTACTAGCTTTAGTTTCTGATGATCTGTGCTGAATTGGCACATGTTTTACTAGATGTAAGCATAAACCAAATGGAAGTAACAATTTAGTGTTTTTGAGTGCTTGCTATGTAGCCAAATCAGAGCTGTGTATTCTCCTTGCATTATTCCATTAAAATAAAAGTTACAAAATATGAACTGTCACCATTTTATGGAAGGAGGAATTGAGAGATTATAGAGTGTATGCACTTATTTAAATTCTCAGGAAGTGATTGCTCAGTTAAGATGTAAAGCCAGTTAGTCTACTTGTACATTCCATAAACCAGGTTTTTAAAAATGCATAAAGAAATGAAGAAACATTTGAAGGTATTTTGATATCAATATGTTTAATTAAACATGTGTCTTATCTTTTTCTTAATAACATTTCAACATTGTTTCAATTATAATCTTAATACTGATCTTAATGTGACTTAAATTTTTTTTAAAAAACATGCTCTTAGAACATGTAAGAAAGTAAAATATTAACCATTATGATGATAATACTGCTTATGTGTAATTTTAAATACTGTGATCATGATATTTACATATTTTTCTATTACCATTAAATGGTTGACACACGGGGCTGGGGATTTAGCTCAGTGGCATAAGCGCCTGCCTTGCAAGCAGGCAGTCGTGAGTTCGATCCCTGGTACTGATAAAAACGAAAAAAACAAAAAACAAAAAAAAATGGTTGACACATTTTTAGGTAGTTTAACTTTCTTGGTGTTGCCATTACATGTTCTTAGTCATTGCTGGTTATCTTGATGACAGTTCTCTGTATATTTTCTTGGATTCTTATATTGCTTCTGGTACCTTTTTAATTGACATTTTGATGATTAACAGCTGCATGACTTGGACCTATAAGTTCAGCATTTGGACAGTTCTTAGAGAAGTCTTATATGCTATACTCATATACAAATTATTTAAAACAAATTACCTAACAGGATTTTTGCTCCTCAGTGCTTTGCACAGTGCTTGCCATGCAGTGAATATTTAAAAATATTTAATTAACTCACCAGTTTATTTGTTCTATACAGAGTATAAATGACTCTCGCTTAATGATGGTTTGACTTTATGATACTGAGGAAGCATGCAGTGAACATTGTATTCCAGGTTTGATCTTTCCCTATACTAATAATTCATGCTTTCTTGATGCTGGACAGAGGCAACTCCAATCAGCTTCATGATCTTGAGGCTACACCACTTATACACTCTACAGTACACTGTGGTGCTAAGTAATGACACTCAGAAGGTTAGGTTTATTAAATGCTTTCTTAGTATATGTGAGGCTGAAGTGAGCACATTAAATGCTTATTTTTTATTGTTTAAATTTTATTTTAAAGACAAAATAATAATACAAAATTTCAAAACATAATTAGAGGATAAGAATGGTTAATATAATATATATTGTTATCTTTAAAGTAATTACTCAAAGTACAAGATATATAATTTTAATTGTCCAAATGGTATTAACACAAATCTTTTTCAAATGAACTAAGAGCAATTAGTAGTATAACTATTTAACTCATATATATATATGTATAATAAAGACATATAAATAAAAGATGCATATAATATAAATAAAATATGTACATATTATTTATTTCAGCTTCTCACACAAGGGAGACAAAATAATGTTTACACATGCAGGTCTGATGTATTTCACTTATGAGTATGGTCTCTGATTGAATCCATTAGCTATAAAAGTCTCAAGTTTATCATTATTTATGGCTGAGTTGTATTCCAATATACAAAAATACCACATCTTTTTTATTCATTCTTCAGTTGAATGGCGTTTATGTTGTCTCCAAGATCTGGCTATTACAAATTGTGCTGCTGTAAACATAGGTGCACATATATCACTGTGGTGCAATGTTCTTAGTTCTTCTGGAAAATATCCAGAAGTGTAATAGCTCAATCAATTGGGACCTCTAATCCTAGATTTTGAGGAATCCCCATACTTATTTCCAGAGTGTATACTAGTCTACACTCCCTTCAGTATTGGAGAAGGCTTGCTTTTTCTTCGCAGCCCTTCCAGCATTTGTTCCTGGTTTATTTCTTGGTAATAGTTATTCTTTCTGGGGTGAGGTGGAATTTCAGTGTTGTTTTAATTTGCATCTCATGAAAGACCACTGATTTTGAACATGCTTTCTTGATTTACAATATTTTCAACTAATGAGTGGTTTATCAGAATGTAATGTCATTGTAATTCAAGGGGTATCTGTACTTATTTGCTGCCCCATTTAAACTGGAAACCATACAAAACACACAATCACTTAAGTTATTCCTGCAGAAGATGATCAAGTACTTAATTTAAGAATAGCTTGAAAATAAAAGCCCATTATTTTTATTATGAAGGTCTTTGTCTCCAGTGTGACACAATGATTCAAAATGTAGTTCCTAAGCCCAAAAGAGCATGGATTGCTCAAATCTCTGTTTGCCATTTAACAGCTGTAGATCTGGACAAAGTGTTTATTCTTGACAGCTCTCAGTTTTGTCAGGTATGATATGGCCATCTATGTCAGAAGATTAAATGGGTTGAATAATTAAGATGATTCTTTGCATTACACAAGCACAAGTAGAGAAAAATAAAAGGTAATATAACTTTAAATTAGGTACTATAAAACGAACCGTCACTGTTCAATATTTGTTTTTTTAGTAAATGACACAGATGAGATTGGGGATTTAAATGAAATCAATATTACAACTCCATCGAAGTCTAGCTGGCATCTCTCAAACCTCAATGCAACTACCAAGTACAAGTTCTATTTGAGGGCTTGTACTTCAAAAGGCTGTGGGAAACCAGTCACCGAGGAAAGTGCCACATTAGGAGAAGGGAGTAAGTACTTGAGCTTTCTGCATGTTTTGAACTGTCCTGAAAGGAATTCTCCAGACTACTGACTTTAAACTAGAAATGATTCTGATTTAAATCAGCCTGACTTTCTGTTTTCCACTGACACTGGTACAAAATTTATTAAACTAGTTTGTAAAAAGTGTGTTGGATAAATCTGTGGATTTCTGAACAATGCCATACTAGCCATAGTTTAGTATGCATAGAGGTAGGAGCCATAGTTCTACTTAATTGAATTAGGGCATAAAGCATTTTGAAAGGTTAGCAGAGAGATACTATTCTTTGGGAAAATTTTCCATAAAGAAAAATACTTGCTTTTAATCTTGATAGACATTTCATAGCACAGATCTCATAGATCACATTTTTCTGCATTAATTCATGTTTACGTTAATTCATATGCCAGTTATGTTTTACTGTCTGAGGTTAACGACAAATAATGTGCTTGGAAATAGCCTATGAGTCTATGGTTTCACTTGCCGTACCACTCTCTTAATTCAATTACATTTTTGTGACTTGTCGCACCTCATAGTCATTTTCCTTCCCAAATTATCTCTCCAGTTATGATTTTAACAGTGGGCTTGCTAAGCTTTCTATAATTCCATGTTGTACCAGCAAAGAAGTAACAAGCTAGAATTTTTAAAAGGAAGTAGGAGAGAAGAGCTAATAAACACAGTACACACACTAATAAAATCAAAAGGAGAGAGTTTAGAAGTTTCTGGGTAGTCAGACATAGAAAGGTTTGGAGTAAGAGAAGAAGGAAATACGAAATAGCAAGAAGGGAAACAATCATTTATTCATCATGATTAAATTATAAATACTTTTCTTGAATGTATTTACTTATGGTACCATGAAAAACAATAGACTCAAAGGAAGAAATAGCAAGAAGAGGAAGAAAGAGTAATGATGATAGTTAAATTGTCTACAATTACAGATTTACATTGGAGTCGCTATTTGTAAATCAATACTTTTGCCCATGAATTATTATTCTGATATTTACAGTCAATGTGTTCTCCCCTTTCACTGTTCTTACAGTATCTATACAACAAAGGTTCATGTTCCACCCAGGTTCTTTTGATACTTATATTCCCTCCTGAGGGAACAGTATGTAAGTTCCATTCACATCCTAGAAAATCCTTTAGTTCTTTTTAAGGATAAATCATACACCACGTGAAAGAAGAAACTTAATTATCTAGTTGTGAGAGTTAGGCTTCAAAAAGTGATTGAAAACTTTCTGGTAACTAAATGTTATTATTATTCAAGGGTTTTGATCTATATGACTGGATATTAAGTATTCAATTTAGAGAAGTCAGAAGAGTAGTCATCCAAATATACAACTTCCTTGCTTTTTATAAACAGATTTGATGGCCCAGGGCTGTGTTTATCTTGATAGAAGAAAAATCATTTTTCTGAAAAATGCTGGTGTCAATCTTGCCAAATGCAGGATAGAAGAACAAGGTAGTCACAAAATTACCTTACAAATATTACATGCTTCAGTGTGTATGTAGGAAAACTGGGCCCTGGATACATTAAAGCTGGACATATATTTTGGAGGACTGAAATGTTGTTTGTGTGATATATAACTAATGCTCCGTCTTTTATGCAAACGATAGATGTAACTAAGAAGCTTGGGAGTCTTAAAATAAACATCCTCACTGTCTTGTCAATAATTTAAAAATGTTCCTTACTAGTGTGTTTGTGCTCTTTTTCAGGAATCTGCATTTCAGTAATCCAGCTACTGCCCCCTTCCCCAGTTGACTCTGATTTCTATAGGCAAAACTTGCCTTATGTGCAGGGAAATATTTGCATTATCTTTGGCCACTGGATTTCAACATGGTCTTTGCAAAAATATATTTCCACTGAGGAGATACATTTTGATATGATTAAGCACTCTTGAAATTAAAACTTTTATGCAATTTAGGCGTCATTGCTACTGATCTCTCTTTTTGTTTTGCCTAGATAGCACATTTCAAGATTATTTGACTTTTACTTACAGTAGGGTATTTAACACATGTATTATTCTATGGTTGTTACTTCAGTTTTCAGGAGATTTTCATTCAGGAGTTCAAGAGGGGAGAAAGAGTAGAGTTAATTAAAAAATATTATTTTGTGTCATTGGTGATTTCAATAAATCACTTACTTTGCTCCTTTTCTCAAAAGCTTGCACTGGTTAACATTTTACTAACACCTCTGTTTTTTAAAATCAAAATTAAATGTATTCCATGTTAATGGTGATCAGCTTTAAAGGCTTTGCTCAGCTATATAACTGGACTTATTTCTTTCCTAGGGCCATTTTTAATGAAACTCCTTTGTTATTCAGTAACTATACAATCAATATTCTGTTTTAAAAGGTTATATCCAAGTACTTACATTACCATGCACTTACTTAAAAAAAATTATATTTCCTTATATCCTCAATAAGGAACTTATTTTATTTCATATGCTAATTGTTAACTCTGTTTTTATTTATTATACTGAGTTTATTCCACTAAACTTATGAACCTGAACAAACATAATTTGCATACTTGTTGCAAGATCAAAAATTGATATATACTTAACACCATTTTCATCTTTCATATAAAATTCTATGTTATATTGATGTTTTGATAAAACTGATAAATTTGAAAAGGTATCATTTTCTTACATCACTTTCAGTATGTCAGTGAAATCATTCCATTTACATGTAGCTATAAACCTGCATTTTATATTTTTAATTTTTCACAAATTGAATATGCTTATTATATGACCATACCATGATGCTATTCCATAGAATTTATTGATATGATCAATAAATACATATATAAACATAAATAATATATTTCCTTAACATATATTAATATATATTTGATTAAAAATGTATTATTATACATTATAAGCCCAAAAGGCCATATCCAATTTTCTTTATTAGTTATATGAAAGTCCAAATTACAAAAATTATAATGTTTAAATTTTCAAAAGTCTGTGTGTGGTTTTAAACCATTCACATGACCAGGCAGATTTATAGTAACACCTCATTCACGTCTTAAGTGACCATGAGTTGAAGTCATTTTATTTACTCATTTTCAGAGTGTTAAAACAGAAAACCTTGAAAATGATGATATCTTGATTTCCTGATAATTCAGGAACCATTAAAATGCAGAAGTGATTTTTTTCATGTCAAATAAAAGTATTATTCTTAATCTTTTCATAACCTGCCTTTCAATAATTACAATTCATGTAATTTAACTGTGCACCTTTCTTAGGTAAAGATATCAGGAAGATATCAGAAGGAGTAAATCTTACTCAAAAGATTAACCCCGTAGAGGTATCTGAGCCGGGAGCGGAACACATAGTTCACCTAATGACTAAGAATTGGGGTGATAACGATAGCATTTTTCAAGATGTAATTGAGACAAGAGGGAGAGGTGAGAAACGAGATTGTGTCCGGGGTAGTCTTAGATAATACATCTGTGTCTGGTGGATTAATTTTACATACATCCTGTATTAGAGGTAAAAAATATTTAGCATATTACCTATGTAAATCATAGTTTCAACTTTTTTAGAAAAGGATTTTAAAATTATCAAAATGAAAAGTGTTTCACAGTGGTGCGACTTATCTCGTAGTGATTTTAATAGAATAATCGCTTAAAAGTATATCTGCTAATTAACATGTGTTAATAACAAAAACTAAAACAAAAAGACAAAGCATACAATTGAAGAACACAGAGGCTCCATGGTGATCTGTGCATAACTAAGGCAGCTTGTGCTTTCGCTTGCTCCCTGCTGCTCTGGCTTCTCTAACCCTTTGATGCTCATACTCAGATTCCCATGCAACTTGAAGGTCCTTTCTTAATAAAGGAGAAATGACTTGCCAGTGTTCTCCTTGTGAAATATCCTTCAGGTCATTTTTCCCCTAGGAGCATTGAGAGGAGAAATAAAATTGATGCTATTTTGTTTGCTTAATCATAATGTCTGATTTTCCTAAAAGAATAGAATGCTGAAGACTTTCTAACATTCAGTGTTGTGACTTCTCTTTATACAACAGAATATGCTGGTTTATATGATGACATCTCCACTCAAGGCTGGTTTATTGGATTGATGTGTGCAATTGCACTTCTCACACTAATATTGTTAACTGTTTGTTTTGTGAAGAGGAACAAAGGTGGGAAGTATTCAGGTAAAACTTTATTACTATGATATCCAACTTAACAAACTGAAATTTCTAGGAGGGTTCCTGAACACATCTTTATATTTTTAAATTGCACACTACAGTCAAGCTCAAACTGCTCATATATTATCATCTTTTTCTTAAAAATGAAACACAATGTCATGCATGTCGTAGGTTCCCCATCACTGAGCTACATTTTCTTGAAAGGAATGCTTGTTTTCTCATTTCGATTACTTAAAACACACTGGAATAGTGTTTATAATTCTTCTACATTTCTATTTTCTGTCCTTAAAATATCAGAGATACTGAAATTTATTCTTTGATGCACATATTTTAATGTCTTAAAAAGAAAGGAACCATCTATAGCATGCTTCTGTAAACATAGAAGACTCAGGATTTCTTTACCATACACTCTGGTTGTACTGTCTCCACTTTTCAACCACTGCAAGGATGGATTTTGTTCATTTTCATGGCATTTATTATATAATATATATATATATATATATATATATATATATATATATCAAATTAATGATACAGTAAATATAAGCAAATAAATATGAATAAGTATATAAAATTTGAAAAACCCTAGTTGTTTATATTTTTATTTTAATTAAATTCAACTTTCAGATTTGTTTTGTCTTTTTCAGGTATATCTAGGTATATACACATACATGTATAGGTATAGGGTTTCTTTAGTGTTCCCACTGCTTTCATGTAAAGAGGAAAATTTATTTACATGCCACTTCAGATGACATTCAGTTTGGTGAATTTTTTTATTAATTTGAGTGTCTTATCAAGAATGAACCAATAAAGGCATCAAATGCATGATTCCTAAGCTTTTTCACATTACATAGATACTTTACACAGTTACATGTTTTACTTTTTCCTACAAAGTCTGAAACATTATGTATTATTTCACAATAACTAATAAATACTCAAGGTAAATTATTTTTAAAAATTAGCACTCCTCTTTGAAGATCTTAAACTATTAACCATTTGTGAATTATAGGCATCCATTTTCTAAGAACACCCTAAATTCGTATATCTAAACAAAAAATAAAACATCATTTGTTATTGGTTAACTAAGCCAATCTCCTAGTAAGTAACAGTAAGAAGTGCCATGAGGTTTAGTTTGAGTTTTCTGAAAAACGAAGCATGAGCTGAGACTTTTGTCCTATTATTCAGAATAAAACCTAACTTTACAATGTTAGTACAGACATTAATATACTTTTTATTGAGACAACTTTGAGTAAAACAATGATGTAGAATAATTAAAGAATTGATCCTTATCATTCATGTTAGTTTAATGACAGGTATAATAGGATTATTTATTTAAAAGAATATAGAGTAATTTGGCCATCGTAGAGAAAGCTATAGAAATGGATTCTTTTATAAGACTTGTTGCCTGTGCAATAAAGACTAGTCACATGAAGATATGCTACATGCTGAAAACAATGACAAATTAGAACCCAGAAAAAGCTTTTCTAATTCATTTACACAGAGAGGAAACTGATGGAAATTTAGCCACAAGAAAACTTGTATCACTATCAAAAAATGTTGAGTAATGCCATGACTTAGCAATATTGCTAAAAATCTCTTTGAAAAGCCTTTGTATAACTTTCCCTCTATTTTTTATAGTAAAAGAAAAGGAGGACTTGCACCCAGATCCAGAAATTCAGTCAGCTAAAGATGAAACTTTTGGTGAATACAGGTAAATGTAGCTTCCCATTTAAAAATGGATTCACTGTCTTTGTTAAATGGACAATAAGTGTTTATTCTTAATAGTTAAGAGACTATGTTGTAATGCTTTACTCTGAATACTTTCCATGAATAGGATTTACTTTAGTAATAGGAACCAAATTTCTGTGTGCAGGAAGAATGTGTTACCCACACTTTGTGTAATTATGTGTGAGTCAGGATTTTTAAGATTCTATGTGTTACAAAAGCAGTTCACTTATACAAATTAGAGTAGTTAAAATATCTTGAAAACACTGTGAATTTGCATTCCATTTAGTTTATATCCCAGACACATATAGTAAGTCTTGAGTGTGTACCTACCATGGTAAAAAAAGATTACAAACCCAATTCTCTAAATGAACCAATTCTGCAGAGGAAAAAGATACATACATGTAAATAACTGTAATAGTTGAGTTAGAACAAGATAACATGAAAGGGAACAACTACTTCTGTCTAGAAGACATTCTGTCAATACATTCATTCAAAAGGAAATTAATCAGGCTCTAGAACTGCAGAACATCAAATCTATGAATCTAAGAGTGCTTGTGATGGGAGAACTAGCAACAGATGAAGTACAAGACATTTAGCTCTTAAGGAGATATTAAAATACCCCAGTCTCAGATTGTATCTCTCCACAGTCTTTTACTCCACAACCTCTCCATTTCTTAGCTCTTTTTGGTTTGTATGTCATCATACAGTTTTAATCAACTATCTTTTTTATATTTGTGGCAAAGAAATGTATTTCAAGCTCACACTTCATATCGATTTTATGTAGTAGTATGATATCAGAATGCATATCAAGTAAGAAATCTGATTTGCTCTCATTGCTTCATTGCTATGACCATCACTGTAACCAAAGACACTGAATAATCTAATTGGTTATAATGATATAATTGATATATTTTTGCACCTCATCATATCTCTTCTTCATCTATATTTATTTGTACTACTTAGCATTCTGTTTTTATGCTTTTGTATTACAAGAATGATGGTCTTAGTTACTTTTTACTTGTTCCTGGGACAAAATACCTGGTCCCCAAGATGAAAGAAGGAAAGGTTTATTTCTTGTGCTCTTGGGGATTTCAGTACATACTAAGCTGGCTCCAAGGCAGCGTGGCATGGCAGGGCAGCCCTTCATGGTGGCTGCAAACAGCAAAATGCAAACCTGTAAGGGAGAGAGACACACCTTCTTCCTGCCATTACATCATGTCCTGACTCCACCCCTAGGTGGATGTAGCCCTCACACCACCAATCCAAGCGCTAGACAAACCAATCACAATGCATAAACGCATGAAGCCTGGGGGCCAGTGAAATAAACCATGACAATGACTTTAAATTATTTCTACAATAAAAAGAGAGAGAAACAGAAAGAAATAGAGAAATTGTATTTTTGACCATACATTTTTCATATTGCTGCTTTATTAGTTATCAGCTGCTTCATGACAATTGTTCCCAATGTCTTACAGTGTGAACTGTAAACACTTATCTCAGAGTTGACCAGGACTCTGCTTTCATCCAATGGCTTAGATCTACTTCCTAGTGCTCTCCTGGGTATTCAGTTCCCTGCAGACTACGGAAGTAAGGAAATCCGTCTCACAGACCAAAGATCAATCTTAATTCCATACTGTATGAATCTCTCCATGGGGCAGCTTGCCATATGATAGCTGGCTTTTTCAGAGAAAACAGCATAGTTACAAGCCATTGTCCTTTTGTAACTTCATGTTCAAAATGACATCTATCCATTTTCTTGTGCCCTATAGATTGAGTCAGCAAGTTGAGTACTTAATAAAGCCTGTGGAACTATACATGAATGCAAATTGCATAAAGCAGTAACCATTTGGTACCTATGACATCTGCCCAAAATGCTTTGGAAGACAATATTAGTTTAGGTTTATAGAAAGCAAGTTCCAGAATAAATTATATAAGTATCTTGTCTGAAAAGCTAATTTTCCCATACTCTGCTGCTTCTTTAAAAACATAAGCAACATTATCTCCTGCATTATTTTATGACATCCCTTTAGAGCAGTTAATATATTTTCCAATTTCTTGTCCCAAACATTCACCAGCAATTATTATCCAAGTTATTTCAGGAGTTAGTTTCCCAGATGCTGTGATCTTAAATAGCATGAATTTGGGATGATCTTAAATAGCATGAATAGCTTCTTGTGATATTGTCTTCTTATTGGTTCATCACCAGTTGCACGGCCTCTAAGTCAGCGTCTCATGGTTTGTTTGGTTTCGCTTTGTCTTGTTTTTGGAATGTAACATCCTAGTTCTGGAGCCAATCATTTTTTCATCTTCAGCACAGCTTGGACTATGCTGATTCCAAAAACATTTCCAAATATTCTCTTAAGTTGTGTGTTCCATACACATTTCTGTGGTCAACTATTCACTCAGGAGCATCAGGTGCTCTGGGAGAGCGGGTCCCCACAGCTGTAGAAACCAAAATCCAGAAATAAAATGCTGTCTCTAAACCTCCCACTTGGAAGTATACGTGCTCCCTTTTGCTCACTTATGTTTGGTCAAAGCAAGCCACCTGATCATAGGTAAATTAGAGTAAGAGGAAAATACTATGTGCTCAGATTGGCCAGGCTGGACATAGGTGAGGAAGAGAACTGGTGAATATCACAAATTATTAAATACTTTACATCTTTTAATTTTTTCTAAATTATTCTTTTTATAGATTTGATAAAAGTCATTTTATTTGGTAGATAGATTTATAATACTGTTTGGTAAAATTTTTTAGTTTTGATCATAAAGTTACAAGATTGTATCATTTGAGAGATGCCTTCCTAACTCAGATTTGCTTTTCTTGAAGAATAAATTGATACGAGAAATACAGTACAAATCTGGGTTTTATAACACTATTAAAGAGTTCCTTACAAGCAATAAAATTTGAATGATTGCCCCAGACAAAAGAAAATTTTGGGAGAATATGGGAATAATCTATCAAAAATAAAAACAAAATTAAAACGCGGCTGAGGAACTCCTTAAGTTTATGAAGTAAGGAAAATAATATTTATCTTATACCTCAGTCTGTTCATTCTGCTTTTGCAGAATACCATAAACTACATAGTTGATAATTAACAAAAAATTGCATCTCACAGTTTTGGAGGCTGGAAAAGATGAGGTCAATGTAATGGCAGATTGAGTGTCTGGTGAGAGTCAGCTTTCTTGTTCACAGATGGCACTTGCTATTTCTATGCCCACATGGTGGTAGGAGCTACCTACCTCTCTGGGGCCTCATTTATTAAAGAACTAATCCCATTCATGGCATATTCACTCTCGTGGCTAATCATCTCCCAAAGGCCTTACCTCTTACTGCTGTTTCATCAGAGCTTAGGAATTCAACATGTGAATGTCCAAAACACACAAACATTTACATAGAAATTCTGTGTAGGAGGGTTAATTGTCACATATTTCCAAAAATCTCCTGATTTTGAAGAGAAGCAAAAATAAATTGTGAATAGTAGAAAACCATTTATCTGTTATTCAAAATGATGTGGGTTGGTTGGTTTTTTTTTTTTTAACACTTGCCTTGTAGATATGTCATTCGAGTTCTAGTATTTTCCATGTAGATACTAATGTTCTGAAAATGATAAAACCTATTAGTATTTAAGAATGCTTTATGCGATCATAAATATCAAATTTTGTTAGACTATTTTTTGTTTGTTTTTTAGTGACAGTGATGAAAAGCCTCTCAAAGGAAGCCTTCGCTCCCTCAATAGGAATATGCAACCTACAGAAAGTGCTGACAGCTTAGTCCAGTATGGAGAGGGAGACCATGGACTTTTCAGTGAAGATGGATCATTTATTGGAGCTTACGCTGGATCAAAGGAGAAGGGATCTGTTGAAAGCAATGGGAGTTCCACAGCGACATTTCCACTCCGGGCATAAACACAACACATGCAAACAACATTGATGGCTCAACCCAACTTTTCATATTTCTCTGTTCAAGGAAGCATTTCATGTAGGAATAGATACATGTTGGCAGATTGATATCCTGAAATTATGTTGACAGTAGCACTGACTTCAAAAACTAAAACAGCAGCCTTATCAGGCCTATGTTTTGTTTTTGTTTTGGTTTGGTTTTCAGGTGCTCCAAATGCAGAGCACAAAACAAATTCTGTATTTAGACACACTTCTCAATTCCAAGTACCTATTTGGCCTGTTCCGTATCTGCCTGGTGTTAACTACACAGTGTGTATGCATAGGTGTCGCTATGCTGTGGGTTTATCTCTGTATGCACATTTGTATTCGGTCTCTGAACTCTTTTAGTGACTTTGCTTCACTACAGGTTAAAAGATTGTAAGCAAACTGGCTATTTAAAATGTAAAAAGGAATGTGAATGTCTTATTAAAATATTGCATTGCATACATACAGTCTAAATTTATTATTTAATTTTTTTCTTAGAAGTCTTAGGTAAACAATCAACTACTATTTATTGAACCCCTAACTAATTGCCCAGAGTTATTAATGTTTAAACAGAGTTATGCTTTTTTTATTTCAACACGAATTTTTAATTTTATCAGTTATGACACCCATAACCAACTTCCTTTCCCCCCCCCTTCTATTAACACAAGTTGCAAAGAGAGTGGTGTTCAAAGCATCATTTTATGAAAGACAGGAATAAAGTGCCAATGGTTGGATTCTAATAGGTTTATCTATTTAATATCTTTCTTTCTAAATTCATTGCTTTTATTTCTTTGTATGTTTATATGATGGTATACTTGCATATATTTCATGAATGCATTGTACATATGATGTTGATATTTACACAATTTAAAATATAGATGTGTTTTATTTTGAAGTGTGAGAAAGAATCACCAATGGGTATGATTGTACAGCTCCAGTTCATCATTCTTTGGCTTCAGACAGTAACAAACCAAACTGAAGACTGTATAAATCATTTGGATTTTGTTCCTATATTACTTTTATTGACAGTATCAAAGTAAATTATTATATAAATATTGAGGGAAATTATTTCATATTTTTCAAAATACAGTTTTTTTTTATTGAGTGTACTCTTATCCCAGCCATAATAAAGAAATCTGTTTCTAATAGCAATTCCTATGCATATGTTTGTCTGTATCATATTTTAAATGTATTTATGGTAAATGATTTTTTTTCTTTTCTAAGTCTTCCATTTGTAAAAATTGGTAGAGATTCCTGGAATTTATTTCCTGGCATGTGAGCTACTAGTTATTTTAAAATAGCAAATGAGAATATTTTAGAAATGTTATAAAAAAACTATGCATATATATCAGTAAAGTTAGTACTTAAACTTGATTTTATGGAACTAGTTTTTAACCTTATGATGAAATTATTAACTGTGATTATGAAGTTGGTCATAGATATTACTTTATTATTTGAACTGTAATTAGTGATGTATGCAGTTAAACCCTCAACTTTGATTTATGTGATTCATTATGTCCTTTGGGAACCAAAATTGGGGGCATTTATTGTCAGTGTAGTAATGCATGTGGGATATCTAGTTGTCCCTTTGAACCTTATGTGTCATCTAAAATGTATAGATAGCGAAAGTATGTATTAGTTCAAGACACACTTCATGGGCTCAGAGTTTGCCCACCCTCCAGGAAGTAAACCGTGTAGAAGGAAGGCATCCTCATCATTGATCTGAATGAGTGTAAGGATCCATCATGTGTCAGTGCAATTTGAACTCCATCTCCATCTGATTTTTAGCACACAACTTTTCTGGAAGAAGAATCACCATGTATTCATATACCTGGAAGTAATTTGTGATGCTCGGCTACTGAAGAGGTGAAGGTGGGGACTTTTGCATTTAATTTTACCATTATTCTACTTCCTCAACTTTGTCAGAAACCAAAAAAATGATCTTAAGAAGATCAGGCAAGCTAGAAACCGTTTCTAAAAACTAGATTATAAAAATCTAGATTCTTTATAAATTTAATCATCTCTAAGTTAGAAGTTAACATGATTGCTGAATGTTTAGATTTTCGTAGACTTCATTGTTCTTTGGCTGCCTGATAAACAATGGTTTTCTAGTCATAGCTTCAGAATGGTTGAAACTTCTGGGCATGAAAAATGACACTGGATTATGAATAATTTTTGGTATTACTCATTCGTCCTTTCCTGGATACTATTTAATATCTCCTGAGAATCTTCAGCACAAGAGCAATAGCCCTTGGCTTTATGTTATTTTAATCATGAAGTTATGTTATTCATGTATTTAATGAAAAATCCAAGTACCTTAACATGGATTTTATTCTTTCCTCTCAGAAATAACGGAATCTATGATGTTCAATTATGAGTATAAATGGGCAATAATCATTTGCAAAAATCCCACTGAGTGATAAACAGAAACAAATATTTATAACTTTTTTTTTTCTTAACTGGTTTTGCAATAACTTTCTGGAGTCTACTCCAAACATTATTTACTGTCATAGATTGTATATAACTTCAAGGATTGTGGATGGGAATCAGTTCGTACAAGGGGATCCATGGGTCAGGAAAGTCCAAGTTCTCTTCCTGGTTCCAGCACTGAAGTTTGTAAATAAACTTTAGGGAGTTGTTTAACAACTTTGCTTCAAACTCATCTGTAAAGTGCTTATAAATCTTGTCACAGGGTGTTCTTTTTTATGAAGAAAAATTTGCAACTGATAAAAGCTAAGATGCCTTCTAACTTCATAAACAAATCTGTAATTGAATTGTGTATCTAAAATCATCCCACACACCAACCTAACCTTTTTCCTGTGAGCACATAAATATATTTTTATAGAAAAACAAATCTACGGAAAAGAAACTAAATCTGCTGTTCCTTGAGCAGTATGATTTGCACATGCCATTGAAATGATTAATCAGAAGAAAATGAAGCAGGGTCTTTGCTATACAAAAGTGTTTTCCACTAATTTTGCATGCATATTTGTAAGAAAATGTGAATTTGGTGAATTTATTCTATTGGTAGAAAGGCATCTGATATTTTAGATGTATCCATATTTATAAAAATATAGAGCACAATGGAATTATGCTGGAAGTCTCTAATAATATTTTTCCTATTTTATACTCATGGAAGAGACAAGCTAAAGAGAGGAGGACAATAATGAGAAATGTTGGTGTGTTTTCTAAGCAATTAAACATGGTTGACAATTGAAATCTTAGATATGTTTACACGCCATTATGATACAATTCTTGTTGAAATTTTACTTTAGTTATAATGAGACTGGGTTTGTAATGGGACTGTGGTAGTATATATCCTAGTGTTCTCCTAGTGAAATAAGTAGGGTTGAGCCAAAGCTTACATTGTTTTATATTCTAAATTGTTTTATTGCATAATCAAAAGAAACAAAATACAGAGGTTTCACCAGATTACATTTTTTCCACTTAGAGTAGTATTCCTAAAACTTTGTTAAATGTGTTTGTATTGAAAGTGGTGTTTGTATTATGTTTATGATTATGTATTATTGAAAAATATTTTCATTACACATGAAATTCAGCTTTCCAAATAAAAGTTCAACTTCATGTACATTAAAAATGTTTGTATTTTTTCTACCCTTTTAAGAAGATTTGGAATTTACATAACTTTAACAACAATTGCTGCTGATTCTGGAATATCTATAAATGAAGTAAAAATAATGACATATAAATGGATTATAAATAAAATATTTGGTTTACTGATTTGCAAATATAGCTCATGATATTAAGATCATTAAATATAACACAATAATAAATTTTATAGCTATGATAAGTATAAATCTAAGATACATATATACTCACAAAATTATTTTTCAGAAATACAAAGAAATACTTCTTTTTAGGAAAATGTATAATACGTCATACTTTCAAATGTATCTAGTGATACATTTGACTTCAACTTTTAAAATTTGGACACTCAATCTGTCTCACAAGAAAATTGTTATTTTAAAAATCTTTATACCAAAAGCTATAATACATTATCACATTTATTCCTGAAACCCCATTTTTAGTTTGTAGAATAACTGTGTGCAAAGAGGTTAAATGACTCAGGAAGTGCAGTCACTGTGTGCTAGGTCTTAAATTAAACTCATGGCTTTCTAGTTCCAAAACTAAGGCTCATAATCAGTATGATAGCAGTTTTTCCTTTCCCAAATTCTTTACATCTCCTTAGAAATGCTAAAGAAAAATGTTTTTGTTTAATGTTGACTTATAGATCATGTCTACCACTTCTTGTTTTAAGTTAGAACAAGACATAATATAGATGAAAACATTCAATATCTTATTGTATAAAACCACTGAAAAGTGACAACTTAGAAAAATTGTTTTATATGATTTTAAAAAATCTAATCATTCTGTCCTTAATTTTGATTAATGAAATATTATTGTTAGCAGAAGTGGCTTCAATAGTACTGTAACTGTTCTGAATGTTTTTAATCTGATATTTGTATTTCCTTATCAAAAACCAAAAATGAGATCACTTTCTTCTTTTGATGTTCTCATTTGTTTCCCCAAAATAGAATAGAGCAATGAACTTTAAGCCATATATCCTCAGGTTTATGAAATCTTATGGAGAGGATCTATTGCCAAAATAAATTAGGCTAATCTGAAACAAACATAGGTACAATGCCTTTTCAGAAACCTTCAGTACATGGCCAGAAATGTGCTCATGTGATGAGGTTTGTCATGTTATGCTGTGAGGTGATATCTTACACTTTATACATAAACAGAGAAAGCCTAAGAAGTGAAAATTCTCAGATGTTTCCTGAAAGAAATAATAAATTAAACTGCCATTCAGTTACATAAATTCCTTTAACAGGCAGAAAAAAATGTTTACTCATTGGTCTATTTGTAGCAGAATGAAATATATATATATATATATATATATATATATATATATATAATGTTTTATCAAAGTATTATGGGAATACTGGTTAAGTAGGTACATCATAAACTGCCAGGAGAATATAGAATCTGATCCTTATAGGACTTCAGAACTATTTGCAGACTGAATTTTAGGTCTTGTTTCCATTTTATTCTCTTCGGGGCTGGGGATTTAGCTCAGCGGCATAAGCGCCTGCCTTGCAAGCAGGCAGTCGTGAGTTCGATCCCTGGTACTGATAAAAACGAAAAAGACAAAAAAAATAAAAAATAAAAAAAAACTGCTTTACCATTTTATTCTCTTCCTAAGACACCTCTTCCAGCCAAGCTTTCATTTCTGTATCCAGACAGGTGTCTTCACGTTGTTCTTACCCCAGTATTTTTCTGAGAGCTGAGGCTTTCACATACGAGCTTGTATTTGACACTTTCTGGTGTCTGAAATATATGCTTAAGTCAGTATTTGACAAGTGAATGCATAAAACCATGCACCTGATACAATTATGCACCTTTTTCAGAACTTATTTCCTACCATCCGCTGTGCTGTTCAGTGAGGGCAACATTTTCTATTCAGTTACTTAACCATCAATCCCAGGCCTTCTGTACCACACTTCTCCTTAACTCTCATACCTGATCCAACATCAGAGTCTCTTGTTGATTTCTCTGTGAATCCCCTGGAACTGGCTCTGCCTTCTCTGCACTGTAACCTATTTGACTGGAGCACTTTTGGGGCAAAGTGAGTGGGGTGTATGGTACTTGGGACTGAATTTAGGCCTTCTCACTGGGCTACATTCCCAGGTATTTCTGTAGTATTTCGTTTGAGATAGGATCACTCACTAAGTTGCGAAGTTGCACAGGCTGAGCTCCAACTTGCAATCTTCTTGCCTCATCTTTGCAGTGTGGGGATGCACCAATATGCTGCGGCACCCTAGATCACTTTTATGCTAAATGCTTTTTTCTACATTTACTTATAATCTGTTTTTCCTTTTTTAAATCTTATCTAGGCAAGATGGTTTTTAAAGTGAAAATCTGCTCATGTGGTTTGCAAACTATGAACAATGTCAAAAGAATGTGTTTTTATTTCTTTTAATATGAGAAAAAATAATTGTCTGGCTTTCAGTGCTCTACATAATCAAGTCTTTTCCCTTTTTCCCTGGCCTCTCGCTCCCAGTCCTAGTGACTCCCAGTCCAACACTTCTTGGACTCTGCTTTAGAGGCTTTCATTTGCCCGGGCCATC